TGCACTCAAATTTTTTATTTTTTTTAATTAAAAAAAAGGATCTTTTCTAGGATCCTCTAAAATCATAAGAAAAGGCAATATTTAAATAACATTGTCATTTTGGAAATGCACATTATTTAATACTAGCTTAGAACACATTTTAAATGTGATTAAGATGCTCTCAAGCATCTTATTTTACAAGCTGAAGTGCTTTAGGTATATGGAGTGTTCCTTTAAAATATTTTCCTGCGTCTGAGTTTGACGGACTTACTTTGGTTATATGTGAAGAGTAATCTATAATCAATGATGCACACTATAAAACTCTCAACAGGAACGGAGGAATGGACTACATTACATATTGCGTAGAAATATAAGGTATATATGAAGCATTTCCGCTGATACCAACGGAAGACCAGACTGGGCTCAAAAATGTTAACCACTGCAAATATCACAGTGGAAGGAGCACACCCGAGGATTTGCTACAATATATACCATATATTTCAAAGAGGAGTGTAAGGATTTAAACTCCAGTCAAAACTGGTCCTTTAAGGATTAACTCAAAACAGTATACTATGAAAACTGAAGAAAAGGTAATATGAGCGACGATTTTGCTCGGGATGTGAGTTAACAGTGATTTTCCCCGAGTTTAGTTACTTGGGACGACAACAAGACTGCAATTAGACATGTAATGGGCTTAGCCCATATTAAATTTAAATAAGAAAATATAAACATATTAATGGAAATAACTAAGTGCACACCATTTCACTGTAGTGAGGTAAGAGAATTTGCCTTTTTTTTTTTTTAACAGAGAGTACATTACACTAAAAAAAATATATTCATCTAAAATATACACAGTACAAAAATTCTAAATGCAATATATACACAAAAATTATATATGCACATATTACATAAGATCCAGCGCACTCACTCATCCACTAAACAGCAAATTCAAAGCTCAAAGATTTTATTAGTTTTTTTGTTTTTTTAAAAACACCTAATCTAGGCAAAATAATGGAGTTTAGTTACAGTATATTATCATACAATGTATAAACCTGCCACAACGTCAATGTACCCCATCTTTGGCAAGTCCTAAAAATAATAATAAAATCTGTGAGCTTTGAAGTTGCTGTTTAGTGGATGAGTGAGTGCGCGGATCTTGTGTATTACATAAGCACCCCATTTATGCATGTTAAGGTGAGTGCAGCCCCTGGTTTTGTGTGTGTCTGTGTATATATATATATATATATATATATATATACATATATATATATATATCGGATGATAGCACAAAGAGGGAAGATGATTAGGACAAAGGGAGTTTAAACTACCAGAAGGTCAGATGTCAAATAGGATATGTAGTACCTGGGGATTCCACAAACACATGGCAACCATGAGGAAGATGCATGTAGGATAGCAACATCCAAGTACCTCCAGAGAGTCAAACAGGTCCTAAAGTCCCAGCTAAATGGCAAGAACAAGATTAAAGCCATTAACACATATGCCCTACCAGTCATCGGGTACTCAGCAGAAATAATGACCTGGCCAAGAAAGAGCTGGTCACCATGAATGTCAAAACTTGGAGAAATGGAGGATTCGACCCAAAGTACAGCACCCAGAGATTGTACAATAGCTGGAAGGAAGAAAGTCGGGGTCTGATGTGTGTTAAGGCCACAGTCCTAGATGAAACATGGAGAATACACAAGTGCACAGTACACAATAAAGCCGAGGGTCTACCACACCAGACAAGACCAAAGGTGCAGACTGTGGAAAGATGCCTCTGAGACAATTCAGCACATAGTAGCCAGGTGCAAAATATTAGCAGGGACATCATTCGTTGAGAGTCACAACTAAGTAGCTGGGATTGTATGCCGCAGTACCTGTAAAGAATATGGGCTGGATCTGCCCATATTGGAGATACCACAAAGGGTAGTTGAGATGATAGGGTTAAGATTCCTTTGAACTTTCAGATCCAAATAGACATGCAAGTAGTGGCCACTGAACCTGACTTCGTGGTGGTAGACAAGGAATGGAAGACAGCAGTGGTGGTTGATGTGAAAATACCCAGTTACTATAACATGAGGAAGAAGGAACAAAGAAAAGAATACTGAAAGAGCTAGAAAGGATGTGGAAAGTGAAGTCAGTAGTTGTCCCAGTTGTGCAGGAGCACTCAGGGCTGTGACTTCCACATTGCGGGAGTGGCTTCAGCAGATTCCAAGTGGGACATCTGAGATCTCTGTCCATAAGAGTGCAGTTCTAGGAACAGATACCGCACAGAACCCTCAGACTCCCAGGTCTCTGGTAGAGGATCTGAGAATAGGGAAAACACAGACACAAAAAAATATACATACCACCCAGGAGGGGTGAGAAAATCAATTATTATTACATATACATGTGTTCATAAATCTATAATTTCTAATATATATCTATATAATAAAAGATAGCTATCAGTGTATATTTAAGTTGAGATTGCGATACGAGTACAACTAATATCAGTATGAGGTTGAAAATATTCAAGTTCAAATTATTCTTAAAGGAATAATGTAAGGTTAAAAATAAATATACTTACCTTAGTTTGATAGAGAAGCACTGGGCACCTGCGGAACTGGTGCGGTGATTGCTGCATTCTGCCAACCAGACACTTTACCAGTGCTTCTCTACAAAAGCATTCAAACTATTCAGCCGAATGAAAAGATTTTCAATTTTTGAAGGAAGAAGTGCCTCAAGTGTATGTCTGACATCCACTAGAGGCATGTTCATAGCCAAATATTAACTTTGCAGACTAAAGTGTTTTATACCGGCAGACTGAAAGGACAGGGTCAATGAACCAAAACCACTTCATTTAGATGAAGTGGTTCTGGCACTTGGAGTGTATAGTTCCTTTCATTATTTTAAGTGCGTATAGTAATGTAACAGCAGAATTAAAACTAAATGTAGTTTCTAGGAAACCAGCACTGTTCACCCTGTCAAACAAGAACATATAGTGAGTTCTGAGTTTGACACGGAACCCTTAAAAAAAGCTTCACTATGGTCAGGGTTATGAAACAGAACCTCTGAGAAGCAGATATAGATTAGCATCAACATTATAGACCTTATATATAAGGAGCAATTGTAGTGCAAACTGATAAATGAAGAGCAATTGCCATAGAAACCAATGGGATGTTTCTACTGCTCGGCCACACTTAGCACTTTGCCAATCAATGGTCTTTATACATATAGCCCAATGTTTCTAGGGGTTATAGAAATGTAGACACCAGTCTAAATTTAAAAGTGTAAAACCTTTTTGAAACTGATGTCTGCCCACAACTACCTAGAACCAGATATACCTGTAAATAAAAGGGATATAATACAATATAATAATACAAAAAAGTATACCTTTTACCCACTAAACTGGAATTGTGAAGAATTATCAAGGGAATTGCAACATTTAAGGCCAAAATTGCCAAAATTAAAAAATAACCAAGTTTGAAATTTTTTCCAAATGAACCGTTTTTCACCTCAAATTTGGAATTCCCTTCATGAAATGTTTTCAATAACTGATTTACTGAAGAAACTACTATGTATTTACCTACCCCTACTTAATTTTCCTTTTAAGGTCCAGTCTTTAAGTGCTACAGGAGTGGGTTGAAGAACTGGCACTCAGTTATTTTTTTTGCTATTTAAAATATGTTATGGAATGTAATTACAGTCACCAGTGGTGATAGGTAAAATGTAAAGATGGTGGGGCATTAGACTCTCTCTCTCTCTATATATATATATATATATTTACACACACACACACACACACACGTATCTGGGAAACAGCAACCACAATAAAGAGGTTTGATTCCATCCCCTGAAGCTGTTACCCAATGACAACTGTAGAACCCAAGACAATTTGATGGCCTTCCTTTTAACGAGTCCAGGATCTGATGGCCCAATGCAGAGTCTATAAGTGACATCAGTAATGCAGTTCGAACAAACTAATCATGTTTGAGAGGTCTATACCCAAATATGGGGGCATTTTAAAAAATGCCAAAGACATTTCTCATAATTAGCCGCTCAGGCTCCCACCAGCAACTCCATCCAGGATGTTTTTCTCTAATACTATGACAAAAAAGATCTGATATTTTTTATAGCAACAAAAACTGGGGTGTGAGGCGCTGTCCACATTCCCCTGTGGAACAGCCTCCATAAAACCAAAATAAATATTGTTCAAATAAAATGAATGGGAAAATCCCACATTTCTAAATTAGTAGTTTTGGAATTGCTTTAAAATCGGCTGATTTTGCTTAGCAATTTCCCAAGAATTTTAGACAACTGGAAAATAAATTGCACCTTTTAAACCACAATGATAGAAATGGAGAATATTTTTAGTTCGCTATTTTAGCCTAAAACGTGCAGCTCCTGTGTTAATTTTCGGCAATTCCTAATGAAGTGGAATTTTTTTTTGTTTTGATAAAAACATCAATATCAAGAGACAAATTTATCAAGGCAAAACTTGAGCAATTCTAGGGTTAAGTGCTTAATGTGGAATTGTGACCTTGAAAAAAAATGGAATGTTCCTGTAGATTTCTACATTCTAGAACGTTGTCCAGAATTGCTCCAGTATTTCACAGATAAATAGGACTGTATGTGACTGAGATTGTAGCAAATAATCCTCAGTTACACCTATCAAAGCAGTCAGTGTAAGTTAACATAAGGGGCACCAGGATGGCCTACACAATGCCATTTGTCCCTCTTTACTTCCAAATAGAAGTATTCTTTTGATATCCACTGATGTTCATATATACAAGAAACTATATGATTCTGTCAAGTATAATGCACAGACCAAAATCATTCCTAGTTAGATGTTCTAACAGCACATTCTAGTTATCTGTTATTAAAAAGTAATACATGTGTAAAAATACAAAACTTAAATAAACTATTAATTACCCTGTTGAAGTTTAGTAAAAACAAAAAACAGAACATGAAGAATGCTCCGTTTTTCACACTTGCGTGAGAACCCTGAGATTATGACGCTTTCAGCAAGGTCGATGTGGACGTTAATACGCCTCCACCTGCCTCATCATCAGTTTTCTAGTGTACTCGTACGTCAGGAAGAGGATGCCATTGGCTGGGAATGCACGGATCAAAGTAGGCTTCAATCCTGAATATAATGCTGATATTCCTGCAAGATAGAAAAACGTATGAAAATTTTATTTTATGTTAAAGTGTATCTAAGAGCAGCCATGTATTATTTATCAATAGGAATTATTGCTGAAAGATTTACTGTATAATAAAAACAATATGATAAAAGGAAAACAAATGCGGCAGAATATGATGGTGCCACACAAATAAAATAATAATTTTGCAATATTTGAATACGTGTTCCAGGTAAACAAATTGATGGGAACAGCATTAAAATCACAGTACCTTAAAAAGAAGAAAACACCTAAATATATTTATTTTACATTTTATATATAACAATACTTTATTGCCAGGACACTTTCATTGATGCCAAAAGACTTTATAAAGATTATTTTTAAAGGGTTACTCCAAACCACAATCACCACGTCAGTGATTTGAAGTGGTCATGGTGGTAGGAGTATGTATCTGCTTGAAACATGTCACAGCGAGTTATTGTTAGTTGTGTGCTGGGGGCTAGTTGCACCACCAGCAGACGCAACATTTGCAGCAGAGCCTAATGTCAATTCTGTGCATAAAAATAAAAACATTTGTCATCAGCAGACACTGCAAACAGATGTACACATCTTCCTCCTCCTTCCCTCCCTAAAATATGCAATTCTCTTGTCCATTCTCAAGAATTTCTTGTTAAGTGAATAACCCTAATAAATAAAAATTCTCAAACTATACCAAAAGTATTAAACACTTTCTTCTCCTGAAACAACTGATATTTTATTCTATTTCTTTCTTACAGTAATATATTTCGTCAACCAGATCCGAATAATTGAAATTATAATGTATGCCTTGATTTAATATTTCATCTTTTATTAGGACATTTGAAACAGTAAATCCTGTTAAATCCATGTTAGTAAGCAGTAAGACTATGGAGAATATACCCGTCCACAATTGGAAAATGACTCTTTACGATTTACTACTGACACAATATCAGCTTAAACTAAACCTATCACAACGCTGTGAGCAAAAAATGGCCTGTCAGAGGGCACCACCTGCTGGACAAAATGAGCATACAAGGTCTACAGTGACCACATTTAACCACCATTATTACTATTATATTATTTATATAGCGGCAGCAAATTCCGTATCGCTGTACAATGGGTGGACTAACAGACACGTAATTGTAAAAGTACAAATGGACGCACAGTAACAGTGCAGTTGGGGGCGCTGTTCAATGAGCTTAAATGCTAGAGGGAGTAGGGTATAGTGACACAGAGGGAATAAGTAGGGATAATGAAATGGGTTGCTAGAAAAGTAATCACTGAGAACTTATTTTTGACAGTTGCAGGAGAGGAGTCATGGGGATGGGGGGATGAAAACCCGCTAACAGTATAAATGATACGCTTTCCTGAAGAAGTGTGTTTTCAAAGATTTTTTGAAGGAGTGGAGATTGGGTGAAAGTCTTACAGAGAAGGGAAGAGAGTTCCACAGAAAAGGTGCAGCCTTGAAGAAGTCTTGGAGGCGAGCATCAGATGTGGGAGTACGGACAGAGGATAGGCGTAGGTCTTGGGCAGAGTGCAGGGGCCTCGACGGGACATATTTGTATTAGGGAGGATAGGTAGGTTGGAGCAGCATTATGTAGGGACTTGTAAGCAAGCACCAGAATCTTAAATTGAGCCCTATATCTAACTGGAAGCCAATGTAGGGAGTGACAGACGGGGGAGGTGTGGGAGGTGAGGGCGGACAGGAAAACGAGCCTTGCCGCCGAATTCATTATAGATTACAGCGATGCAATCTAGGAACACGTAAGACCACTGAGAAGTGGATTGCAGTAGTCAAGGCGAGAAAGAACAACGGCATGGACCAGAACCTTAGCTGCGTCTGGTGTTAAATAAGGGTGGATGCGAGCTATGTTTTTGAGATGGAAGCGGCAGGATTTTGTGATTGACTGGACATGAGGGGTGAAAGAGAGGTCGGAGTCAAAGAGAACACCTAGGCAGCGCGGTAGAGGTGATGCTGGCGCCGTTGACATGGAGGGAGTCAGACACGGGAGTAGCAACACTTGAGGGAGAAAAGAACAGAAGTTCTGTTTTGGACAGGTTGAGTTTAAGGAAGTGAGCAGCCATCCAGTTGGAAATCGTGGAGAGGCAGTCAGAGACATGAGTCAAGGGTGGAGAGAAACCAGGAGAGGACAGGTAGATTTGCGTGTCATCTGCATATAAATGATAATGGAAGCAAAAAGGAGCTGATGAGTTTACCAAGGAAGACAGTATAGATAAAGAACAGTAGGGAACCAAGGACAAAACCAACAGAGAGGGATAGGGAGAAGAGGCAGTGCCAGAGAAAGAAACACTGAAAAAGCATTGGGAGAGGTAGGAGCACAACCAGAAGAGAACAGTATCCCATAGACCGAGATTACAGAGAATGGGAATAAGCTGTTGATGATCAACAGTGTCAAAGGCAGGAGAAAGATCAAGGAGAATTAGGATAGAGTAATGGCCGTGAGATTTAGCAGCGATTAAATCATTGGATAGTTTGGTCAAAGCTGTTTCAACAGAGTGACAAGCGCGGAATCCAGACTGAAGCGGGTCAAGCAGAGAGTTGGATTCAAGGAAATCTGTCAATCTCGCATACACAACTCTCTCAAGGATCTTGGAGGCAAATGGCAGTAGCGATATAGGGTGGTAGTTTGATGGGGAGTTGGGGTCATGGTTGGACTTTTTCAGAAATGGCTTTATGGTTGCATGCTTGAAGGGTGAGGGAAATGTACCGGAGGAAAGGGAGAGATTGAAAATTTGAGTGAGCGGAAGAGCAAGAGAGGGAGACAGAGTGCGGATGAGATATGAAGGATTAGGTTCGAGGGAACAGGTGGTGGGGTGGGAGGACTGGAGCAGAGCTGAAACCTCTTCCGTTGTAGTAGGTGCGAATGAGCATAGAACAGCAGAGGGAGTAGGGTTGGGTGATGTATTGGAAGGGCAGGGAGAGAGGTTACAGATCTCTTCCCTGATTGTAGAAATCTTCTCAGTGAAGTGAGCTGCAAAGTTTAAGGCCGACAGGAGGAGGGGGAGCAACAGGGCGAAGGAGAGCATTAAAAGTGTGAAATTGTCGTTTGGGTTCGCGAGAGAGTGTGGTTATGAGGATATTGAAGTAATTTACTTTTGCAAAGGAAAGAGCCAGAGTGTAGGAACGCAGCATACATTTATAGTGGAGGAAGTCAGGTGAAGAGTGATACTTTCTCCTAAAAGCGTTCAGCAGTTTTTGAACATTTTTGGAGATATCGGGTCAGCATGGTGTGTCAGCGTTTTAATTGGGAATGCTTGCTGCTTGTAAATGTAGGAGGTGCCATGATGTCTAGTTTGGTGGAGAAATGCTGGAGATCAAGACAGTGGAGGTTTCTGCGAGATTGGAGAGTTGAGGGTGGTGAAATTTGGGTATGGGGTATGCTGATGTCAAAGGTCAGCAGATGGTGGTCAGATAAAGGTAATGGTACAGTGGAGAGATTGGAGGTGGTACAGAGATTGTTGAAGATGAGGTGAAGAGTATTTCCTGCTGTATGAGTTGCTGAAGTAGACCACTGTGTGAGGCCGAAGGAGGTTACACAGAGCAGACGGGAGGCATCAGGGCAATGTTGAGTGGGATGTTAAAATCCCAAAGTATGAGGGAAGGTGTGCTAAAGGAGGGAAAGTGGGGTAGTTAGGAAGAAAAGTGTTCACTGAATAGCCAAGGATGACCAGGGGGGGCAGTAGAAGATGGCAATTCTTAAAGGAGTGGGCTTAAAAATGCGGACAGTGTGAACTTCAAAGGAAGCAAAGGATAGTGCAGGGGCAGAGAGGATAGATTGAAAAGTACATTGAGGCGAGAAAAGGATACCTACACCGCTGCCTTTACAGTTGATTCTGGAAGAATTGTAGTCCACTGAAACATAAAGAAGCTGGAGTAGCGGTATCAGAGGGGAAAAGCCAGGTCTTAGTGAGTGCTAGTGCACAGTGAATGTTGGTAGAAGAGGATAAACTACAGGGTATTTGGATGAGGTTTGCGTGGTTTCTAGTATTTTTAGTGTGAGCAGCCGAGGTGAGGGGCCCTGGGTTGGGAGAGAGATAGTGACAGGAGATGTGAATGGGTTTTATAAGGGTTTGGTCTAGGATGAGGTTGGGTGGGAGCAGGAGAGAAAGAATAGAGAAATAAGTGCAGGGCAGAGATGGATTAACGTGGATGTGATTGAGTTGTTGAGGGAAGTACGTGTAAAGAGATATTTTGATGCTGAGGGAGATGGGAGAAGAGGAGAAGATAGAACATTGCTCAGAAGTACTTTGAGAAAAGCAGAAGTAAGGAGAATGAGGACTGAGTGTTAAGGCTTAAGGGAGTGTAGGAGTGTTCTGATTTCGGGTAGTGTTTGCAGCGGTTATTTCTAATTATCTAAAATTGTATGTGAGATTCTATCTATAAATGGAATAAAAAGCTTGTGGTGTGGTGTGGTGGGGTGGGGTGGGGTGGTGAGGGGAGGAGTGGGCGGTCAACGGAGAACTGTTCTGGTTTTCAACAGGTAACATTTTAACTCAGACTGTGGAAGACAGATGATAGGGTCAAAAGGGCCTGCAATAAAGCTATGGAATGGAGATGCACAGATGTGGTGAGGATTGATCAAGCGAGACATTTGGGTGGGTATCAATAAAATAAGGGGGGGGTGGGTTGTAGAAGGTCTTTAGAAATAAGCAGATAGGTGAATAACATTTAAGTTAACAAGCCAACAATGTTGAGTGGGGCTGGGGACAACTAGCTTTAGCATGCAGGGCAAGACAAAGTAAAATATATACGAGAGAGAGAGAGAGAGTGTGTGTGTGTGTGTGTGTGTGTGTCTCTGGGCTTGAGATCACTCCACATTACATTGGGGACATCGTTTACTAATACAAAAAAAAAAAACTAAAAAGGACAAATGACAGATTACTCTAAAGGCACCAATAATCTGCAGTTTTTCAGCAATTCATGCAGAGACCAGAATGTGGCTGAGGTTTACCAGCCATTCCTTGTCCATCTATTGCTTTCAATGGGAGCACAGCCATGTCTTTTAAACTGCTACAGCAACAGTAATAATGACAGATATTTTGCAGCTTTGATACATTCATACATTGACCTACAATATGCTTCTCACAATATGAGAATAATAGTGCTATCACTTGGGTGAGTGTCAGAAGGCTGAATATTGCATGTATAAAGTAGAGTGTTCTTGCCCACCCAGATTTTGTGGGGCACAAGTTGCTCTGATTCTTCTGACTCGGTCAAGTTCCTATGGCGTTCTGAGGACTAAAGACCTGCTCATTATGACTCCATGACTGGTGACAAAGAGATACATTGCATTGTTTCTGTTAAATTGAACTCTGGTGATGGCATCTAGATATCTAACTTGGTACTGGAAACTTGGAGGCATTTCTGATCCTTAAAACTGATTTAAGCAGGACAAATCAGTGGGCATAGGAGTGACATTATGGAATGTGAATTGTTTTTTCTATTTATTTGAGGATATACCTTCATTTTTGACAATGCTTGAAAATGTACTCATGAAGCCAGCTTGTTTTCCTGTGATGGAGAGGACCTGGATTCTGGATTTGATGCAGTCCACTGGAAACACTGCAAGCCACAACGCAATTCCTCCTACACCACCACTTATCATCAGAGCAACTGGACCTAGGAGGTTACAGAAGTAGAAAAAAAACAAAACAAAAAAAACAACAACTTGTTTTAACCTTGTTCTGCCTTTCTAACAAGACTCACAGGAACATCACATAAATACTAATCTTGACACGGAATACTACAGTCGTTTACTGGCAGCGGAACTCTCCAAAGCTACTGAAGGTAACTCAATATGACTCCATCTCAACACACAGCATTTAAATGTAATTTCCCCTCCCCAATATACAGGAATAACATTGGCTTTTTATAAAAAAAAAAAAAGACTATCTTTAAATGAATACCATAGGGTCAGGAACACAAACATGTATTCCCTACCCTATAGTGTTAAAATCACCATCTAGCCCCCCCTGGCTCTCCCCTAAATATAATAAAATTTTAGTTCTATTCAAGTCTGCAGCTGCTGACTCTTCCCCTGATCTGCCTGCTTGGCTGACATAATCAGAAGTGATTCTCTCAGCCAATCACAATGCTTTCCCAAAGGATTGGCTGAGACTGTCAAAGAGACAGATAAGAGCCAAACACAGCCCTGGCCAAACACAGCCAAACACAGCCCTGGCCAATCAGCAACTCTTCATAGAGATGCATTGAGTCAATGCATCTCTATGATAAAAGTTCAGTGTCTCTATTCAGAGGGTTGAGATATTAAATGGCAGTGCTGCACACAGTGCAGCACTGCCCAATAAGGCATCTCTAGTTGCCATCTGAGGAGTGGCTAGTGGAGTTATCCGTATGCCAGGGGTAGGCAACTTCGGCACTCCAGATGTTGTGGACTACATCCCCCTTAATGTTCTTACACCCATAATGCTGGCAAAGCATCATGGGAGATGTAGTCCAAAACATCTGCAGTGCCGAAGGTTGCCTATTCCTGCCCTACACTGTAATGTAGATACGGCATTTTCTCTGAAAAGACAGTGTTTACAGCAAAAAGCCTGAAGGTAATGATTCTACTCACCAGAACAAATTCAGTAGTTGTTCTGGTGACTACAGTGTCCCTTTAGAAAAATGAAAAATATCTGAATCAGATTAACAATAAACTGTTTATTTACAAAATTCTGAACTGTAGTTAACTGAAACCAAAAAGGCAAACATTCACACAAATATAGCCAAGCTGTGTTGGAGACTTTTCCAGATCGGGGACTAATCTTTGTGATTTGCACAAGTTTGTTTTTTGAAACATTAAATAAGCAGTTAGTAATCTTCTCACCAAGTTCATCTTTCGATTTCCCTCCTGATGCAAAGAATGTCTTGCTCAGTTCATATCCCCCGAAGAAAAAAAAATAGCCTGGCATTTCTCTGCAAATTGTGCTCGTCAGACCCTGGTAGAAACCTAGGGGGCCTTTTCTTTGTACAATTCCTTTTACTACTGACCAAACTGTACTGATACAGATAAAACAAAATAAAGTTGTTATATTCAAAAGGATATCACATCAGTAAGAACATGGGGCATGCAAAACGTGTGTATATTAATTCTGTGCATTAATGATTTTCATCTTAAAACAGGTGGACTACAGGCAACATGGAGTTCCCATGATTTATGTGTAAGCCCCAAGTCTGCCTGAAAACATTCTACACAATTTTACTGATTTCATTTGGTCTAGCTCAACAGGAATAGAGCTATTTACTAAAGTGAGACCTTTTCAGGAATGCAAAATTCTGAATTTCAAATTTGCTAAACGATTTTATTTGTTTTGAAACGTGTACTTCTCGGCTTTGAATCTTTCTATGTAAGGACCATCTATATACCTTCAATAATAGAAATAGATTGACAAAAAAAAAAAAAAGCTTTAGCCGAGATAGCCAAACAAGAAAAAAATTTCAAATCAAACATGCCACCAGTCTGGCTACTTTGGCCTTGAATTTGATATTCACTTTAAACTCATTCTGAATTCCAGACAATCCTCACTTTATTACCTGGAAAACAGCTTTAACCCCTTAAGGACCAAACTTCTGGAATAAAAGGGAATCATGACATGTCAGACATGTCATGTGTCCTTAAGGGGTTAAAGATCGGATGGCTAAACCCTTAAAGGCTATGATGGCCTGGGACAACAGTGTCACACACAACACACATCAATATAACAAGAATGCAGCTACTTTACACATAGTTCCATCTTTAACCATATGCTACATCTGAAAATTGTGTTTAGTGTATCCTGTCCTAAAGCTACAATAGAGGCAATTATTCAGAAAAGGGTTATTTAATCAGCCACAATGAAAAGGCAAAACATATTAAAAGTGATTTTCGGGTATACTTTTATTGGGAAGAGCTATAAAAATATAATTACTAAAATATAATAAATATAGTTACTTGCACATTTAGGCAAATTCTACTATGTTTTTTTTGAACCACGATCTAGAATGCTGTTATCCTCCTAAAATGTTTGTGTGGATAAAATGCACAGGTCGACATTATTAATGCCAACATGACAAGTTTAATGTTGCAGTTTTGATTTAAAGAGAGTGTTCCTTTAAATTAGAATAAAGGTCTTACTTGATCAGTTTTAGAATGTCTGATTAACCGTAAACTATAATCACCAGAACAACTACAGCTTAAAGTAGTTGTTCTGGTGTCTGCCTGTCCATGCAGGCTCTTTAATGTAAACACTGCCCTTTCAAAGAAAAGCCAGTGTTTACAATACAGCCTAGTAACACCTTTAGTGGCAGTCACTCAGATGGTCACTAAAGGTGCTTCCTGGGTCAGTGCTACATAGTGTCCAGCACGGACGTTCAGCGTCCCCACGCTCTGCATGGAGGTGCTGAACGTACTTCCTAGATATGCATTGATACAATGCATCTCTATGAGGAGATGCTGATTTGTGCAGCGTGCGTTTTGCCACTCATGCACAACAGCCTCCCAATGCTTTCCTATATGAAAGCATTGAATTGGCTGAGATCATCAAGTTTGATGATCTTAGCCAAGGAGGCAGAGATGGGGTGGAGTTTTATACCTTTTTAACCGGGGATGAGGGGGGCAGGGGTACCTAAATGGCGGGTTCAGGACTATAGTTTCAGGAATACAGGTTTGTATTCCTGACACTATAGGGTTCCTTTAAGGAAGACTCTGCAAGAGTAATAGTCTAATCTCAATGTAAATACATGTATGACAGCCTTACTTTTGTCCCTGTGATATCTTGCCAGATAACTGCAACTCATGCATGGCTTGGAGTCTGCATTTTACCAACTCCGTGGGACAGAGAACCAGGGCGGCAAAAATTGAAGCTACTGACCCAGCGGCTGCATTTTGTAGATCACTGCAAAGGGAGAGAAAAACAAATAACTACATCAATCAACCGCACAACAATAATACAAAACAAACTTCTATAATATACAGACACTGCTTCACAGTCAGAGAAGATGGCTTAATCACTAAAGCAGAGGTGTCAAACATATACAGTTGTGCTTCTTAGAAGCAATTGTTTAATGCCTCTTTAAATCCTTAGAAATCTACTTCTGTGCCAGAACCTATTCTGGTCGTATTAGGAAGGAGCGAGAGAAAATAGCGTACAGAGGGAAGGAGCGAGGGAAAAATAGCGTACATAGAGAAGGAGCGAGGGAAAACCAAGGCTTCCCCTTGCAGGAAGTATTGACCATTGCGCCTGCTTTCAGCACTAATGACAGATGTTATATTGCACAGAATTGACAGTAGACGAAAGTGCTGTTTGAGCACCGAAACGCGCGTAGGGTTTATTTAATTTTATTTAACTTGCACTATGCACTGATTTATCACGGATTCACTATTTTGATTAATAGGGTGTTGGTGGGATTGCAGGGAATTTTATGGGGATTGCCACAAGGATAGATATCGAAGGTATTGGTGACTCAGAATAGGAGTACCTCAGTTACATACTATTATTAGCACCCATGAAGGTGCAGACATGGAGAACTAGTAGAAGTCTACTCTACTATTTAACCTAGCATTCGGCAGGTAGCTGTAGCTGTGATAGCTGATATTATTATTAGCACCCACAAAGGTGCAGATAGGGAGAACTAGGAGAAGTTTACTCTATTTAGCCTAGACTTTGGCAAGTAGCTGCAGCTAGTATATTTGTCAGAACAGCAAATGGATCTATACAGCATTTAAGCACCTATTAAGGAAGGAAGAGTTACAGGATTCACTCCTTTTTGTATTGTGGATTCTACTATTTTCCTTGTTACCCCTCTCCCCTCACCGTAGACGCTGTAGCCTCCTATAACTATCCATCCCTATTCCCCTCTCTATAATTAGCATAATCCTTAATGTGGCAATAATCTCTTGATATCCCCATTTTAGGTTGTCTATATGGGAAGTAACTGTTTAGCGAATCTTCCCCTTTCTAATCTTGTTGAGAACAGACCCCACCCTGCGATTGGACTATATAACTGTATTCTATAACTATTCGGGCATATTATTTTTGCATATTATTTTGCTATAATCACTGCTAAGCTCTTTTAAGAGCTCATTCCTGCTTCGCTCTGAAGGAAGAGAGGTTCGTCCTGCGGTGGTTGTGGTGTTGGCTAGAGTGCTTGGAATCCTCAAGAAGCGCTAGGAGCATCCATCAACGGAGGTACCCAGTCGGGGTGCCAGGTGATGCGTTACAAACATCTCTAGGGGTCTCCGGTGGTGCCTCAGCTGGTTTAGGTAGGCGGAAGCAAAAGTCCATCACCCCCATCTTGTCCTGTTTCGGCGGTAGTGGTGTAGCTTTAAGCCGTCTAATATTGTGTGTTAGCTCATCTGCCGTGACTGTCTCAGGTACTCCTCTTAGTCTTATATTTCTAGCCCTGGTCCTGTCTTCCAGGGCTGCCATGCAGCATTGCAGACCAGCAATATCCTTCTGTAGTGAGCCACGGGCTATGTCTGTGGCCACATCCGCCTGGAACATTGCTCTGAGCTCCTGCAGGAGGGCTTCGATGTCTGCCTTTGTGTAAGGGGCTGAGTCTCCCTCTGCAGGGGGCCCCTGGGGAACCACAGGTGGTCTGGGAAATGTAGAAAGCTCCATTCCCTTAGTGAGTTTATGAGTACCTCCATGGCAAATTGAGGAATTATCCCCAATGTTGCCTTTCAAAGGCAAAACCAAATGTTAGTGAACAACTCCCTGATCTGGTTCTAGCCTTTGCCTCTATCTAAAACTAGTACTAGCCAATAATTTAAAAGGTAGGGCTTAATATGATATAGAAACATTGCTGAAATTTCATATCCTATTAAACCAATGATGTCATAAAACCAGTGGCGTACATAACACGGTCGCAGCTGCGACCGGGCCCGTCACTTCAGGGGGCCCAGCCGCCCTGCGGACCCCTGCGACCAGGTACCCACCGCTATCTTTTGCGGCCCCAGCCTGCGCAGCAAATCGCCGGGGCTGCCATCCAAGGGCCCATGCTGTTAAGGCCACCCGATGGAGATGGATTGTCAGGGGGCCCGGTCAGCGCTGAGCGCTTCAACAGCGCGACCGGGCACCCTGAGATGACATCACTGTTGGGAGGAAGTGACTGCCCCGGTCACTCCTCCCAGCAATCACACAGAGCCCGCGTGGGAGGAAGCAGAGGAGGGAGTCAGAGTGGGAACTCTGACTCCCATCAACCTGAGCCATCACTGGACCACAGGAAAAGTCACTCTCCTGCACCTAAAAGGTAGGAAACAGGAGGGTGACAAACATTTTGTGTGTGTGTGTGTTTGTATGTGTGCCTGTCTGTTTGTATGTATGTGTCTTTGTATGTGTGTGTGCCTGTCTGTGTTGGTCTGTATGTATGCATGTGTCTGAATATGTGTGTGCGCCTGTCTGTTTGTATGTATGCATGTATTTGTATCTGTCGGGAGGTAGGGTGGGATGGAGGGGGCCCACTGATCAGTTTCGCACCAGGGCCCCATGGAAGCCACTGCATAAAACAGATCTGGTGGGTTACTGTATGCAGGTTGAAGGCCATTCTAGAACCTTGGAAGGTCAGCACCAGCTCTAGTGAGAACTCCAAATGGACATTCTAGAGGATAATATAGTGTTTGTGGGTTTATTCAATAAACGGGAATCATTGTGATTGACAGAGGAATTTAAATTTTCAGTCCAATATAGTAAACATGGAAAAAGTCTGCTTTTCTCTGCTATTTGTCTTTTGCTATAAAAGTTTTAATTTCTGATGAATTCCTACTTTAGAGAATTAACCTTTCAGTCTTTAGCCTAGTGGTGAGCATAAAGCAAATCTTGTATTTATATTCAAATTTTATTATAAGATCTAACAAATACAACATATTCCTAGAGAAAGGATTTAAGAGATAAATTAATGTTACTCAGATGCAGAAAAAGTAGTCAGTCACTTACCTTAGCTGTGTGTTTGTGTCTATGCCAGCAATGGATCTGACAACTCTCTGACAAAACCCATAGCTCATAAAGAGTACAGAGTTTTCGGCTATGTTGGCAACCAATGCAGGGCTGGTTCCTTTATAGAATCCTTTGAACCCGATCTGCTTGTGCGTCTTCACAGCACAGTCTAGGAGCCCCCGGTACATGGTGGGAAATGTCTGCATCTTCACTTTTATGGTGTCAAAGGGCTGACCACTTAGCACACATGCAGTACCACCTGGAATACATTTAACAGAAATGCAAATGATTCTTTTAACAGAAATGAACAAACAAAATAACTGGTGTAATATTTCTGAATACAGGGATCCCAGGCCCAATGCACTCTTACTCTAGGCTCTGGAAACTCATAAGACGTTATATGACAAATCAGCTCTAACCTCACACAGATCTTCATGAGTCTCCCAAATCTAGTATAACAGGGTATCAGAACTATAAAAAGTGCTCATGCCATCCTTTAGTCTTATTATTTAGTCTGTCTGTGTTTTTTAAGGCACCATAACAACCTAATTACAGGCTTACCAGAAGTGATTAAAATGTTTTTTTATGGTTTAACTTCAAATTCGTCATGTCGGCGCCGATTGCTCTGCCCCTGAACATCTGCTCAATGTCTGAGGCTTTAATCAGGAAGCCTTGCACTAGGAGCTGGGACCTCCATGCATCATAACAAATTAATTCTGATGAAGTTGTTGAGGTGCCCATAATAGTCCTTTAAAGGATTACTCCAGCCTCCATGACCACTTCTGCTTTTACAAGCACTCGCACTGGTGACAGATGCAATCAGCTTCTACAAAGGGGAGGCTTGTATCTCTGCTTCCTCTCTCACTCCCTTCATGTGCTCCCTTCCAGCCCTCTCCAACTCCATACTATGACAGTCATGGTCTCTTTTTTTAAACCTTTTCTATGTCCACCCCCCACTCCCTCTGCTTCCCGGCTCAGAATGCACACATACGCTCTGAGTAACTTAGATTGATGCAATTACATGCCTCTCTATGAGAAGCATTTGATTGGACAATCAAAGCAAAAGGCACATTTAACTTTCTATTGCAGCACTGAGAATCTCCCATAAACCAATGCACACCATTTCAAGGACTTGTAGTTTAGGTGGCTGCTCTCTATTGCATCGAACTAGCAGCTGAACTGCCAAGTCCCATACAACTATGCTATGATCATATACAGTTGTATAAATGGAGTAAACCAGCAAAAATTGCAGTTTGGCGGAAAGTTTTAGAAGGGGTGGTCTTATTAAGCAAAATTATTTATATATATATTTTTTTAACTAAAAAAAGATTAATAAAAAATTCCACCCCAGTATAACTAACTGTAACCTAGCTCACACATTCATAACACATTAATGTGAATATTGTCTATTATGGATATGTGACAAAGATGCTTTTAATGTAGCATATATACATTTTAGAGTAGAGTAGAAGAGATAGTTTTGCTTTCCTGTGCCATACCTGCAGCTCCTGCCAAGAGATCGATAGTTGCTTGAATGGCTGGGTTCAGTGCCATGCTTGGGGAGAGTGGTTTATTTACCTAGATGAAAAAGTGTCAAAGTAAAACGGATTTCAATGAAGAAGAAATGATTGGAATACACTTAACGCACAAATCAGTTTATTATAGGAGCAATGTATGACTTTCTTGCCATAGTTCATTTCCTTTTAAATATAGCAACCTCTTCATAACTTTTAAACTATGCATTGCATACTCTCCTTGTAATAGGTAATTAAAGGAACACTAAGGCAGGGGTAGGCAACCTATGGCACTAGTGCCATGCATGAAACTCCAGGTGTCTTTGCACGGCACTCAAGGCTGCTACAGCCAAACAGGCTCTGGCCTATCAGGAGTCCCAGTGAAACTTCAGATATCTGCCAATACGAAAAGGTGGTGAACGACAATCCTCAATTTATGCATTGCAAATCACTTCCTCCAAACACTTGTGTATGGGAATCCACAATGTAGTAGAGCAGCCTGCAGCTGCTATTGCAGCTCCTGTCTTTGACCTGTACCTGGCCAGCTTGGTCCCCACTGGAACCCAGGGAAGCCACCCACACTGCTAGATTTACACAGAAATGCACAATAACCCTCCCCTCATACAAATAATACTAACAGCCCACAAACAAAATATATACAATCCACACAATTGTAACACGCTAACAATCCACATACATGCACATAACCCCACATACAGCCTTGCACATGCAATACCCCAAACAGCCCCACACATACACACACTACCAAACACACAATGTGACATATCCATCCACACACACAATTCCACAAGCAGCCCCCATACACAGTCCACATTCATATGTATCATACAGAATACCACAAACTACTCCTGAACATATACAATATAATAGCTCATAAACGCACAAATACAACAATACAAAACAAATACAGTATGTGACAGACCCCTCTAATAGAACTATGCTCTATTCCGTTTCCTTCATCTATCCGTCGGTTAACCGCAGCTTAATTGGTGAACGTTGGGAGGTCGCTGTTCATGTAACTCCCACGTGGCGGCGGCCATTTTAAAGTCCTAAACGGCCAGCGGTGTTTGGCGCCCAAACTATGGAACTGAAAATGGACACTATTTTGCACGAACACCACTGAAGCCGCCGACCTCCCTTCTCTGCCATCCAGCACACGAACGTCGGTCCGTTCGGCACTTTCTGGGACGAATAGACGCACCCCAGATAGCCATCCCATACAGCCCGTTCATATAACGAAAAACAATGTGAAAGACTTTGGCTCCATGGCGATTGAACTGTATGCATAGGATCTGAGCGGCATTCGGTAATAATGTGTGCTCATATCCCCGCTATCTGGGGATACGTTGAATGTGGGGATTCTGTTCGTGTAATGTAAAGTTATTGATTTTATTGTATTTTTATGTTCAGGTACAAAATGGAGTTTCTCCTCTATCCATGGAGATAATTGGATTACTTCCCAATTATCTCCAGGATAGAGAGGAGGGTTTATCTACATCAAAGGAGAGTGTTTATGCTTGTGCCACTGTGATTAGCTACTGTATCCACATTGTCCCAGTCTTCCATCTGGTCCCCTAGGGGAGTGTCCACCAGGTGGGAGACCTGCATAAATACCACGCTACGGGACATCACAATACTATATCGGCACAGTGCTGCTAAAAGGTTGCCTACCCCTGCTCTAAGGTAATGAAGAAATATATTTTAAAATTTGTTCCTCTTCACTTAGATTAAATTATTGGATCAGCCGCTCTGCCCCTTTGAGAAATGATTTTGGGCCACTCCAATGCTTAATAGAGAAGCATACAGTAGCATGCCTACTGTAAAGCACCACTCTGATGCTTCTAATAGCGAAGCATTATTCAATACTTCACTGTAAAAATTATCAGCGTTCAGTATCACCATGCTGGGTGTGATGATGTTGAACATGAAGACTTTCAATTGGTAAAAGTCATAGTGAGGAAGCGACTCTAATAGCTGTCTAATTGAAGGCATGCCGACTGACAAATGTAAACATGGTTGTTTCTCAGAAATACTTACACGTCACAGACTACATGGACAGGATTTATACACCAGAACCTCTATATAAAGAAGAAATGGTATTGATGCTTAGAGTATCCCTTTAAGAACCTTTTTCCCAAAAGAACCAAAATAGTTGAGAATATCTAATACATGCATTTAGCAAACGAAGAATAAACAGACAACATTGGATAAGTGCAAATAGTGAATATATCGTTTTGGCTCCCACAAGCTTTAATTATGTATTTACCCATATCCAGCGATGCCCATTAATTCCTTTGCATTATTGTGGGATCAGGCAAATGTGGCACCTGTGGGTGAGTGAGCAGCAAAGTGGAGTGAAACAAGTGTGTGGTTTGTATTGTTGTCTTTGGGTAATACATACATTTATACTTTCACTTTAGTAATGCAGTTAATCTCGTGGCTTACCCTTGCTCACAACGTGGAATTAGTTTGTGAAAAGTGCTCAGTGTGAATTATTGATATGTCCAGCATTTGCACATGGTATGAGCAGTTGTGAACTCTAGTTGTAAACTAATTGTGAACTCTAGTTCTTCGTGTTTAGGTAAATAAGTTGCACTTCTGACTAAAGAAAAGAGAACTTAAAGGAACACTATAGGGTCAGGAACACAAAAGTATATTCCTGATCATATAGTGTTAAACTAATTATTGAGTCACCATTGGTCCCCTTAAATGCAGGGCCGGTGCAAGGATTTTTGCCGCCCTAGGCAAAAGTAAAGTTTGCTGCCCCCCCATGTGACATCACAATGCCCCACCCATATGATCTGCCATGTTAACTAACGCCAGTGCTGCAGTGCCGCCGTGTTTACATTAAAAGGCCTGCAAGGACAGGCTATGGACACCAGAACCACTACATTAAGCTGAAGTGGTTCTGGGGACTAGAGATTAGTGCCACGAATAATATACTAGATTGCCTACTTACAACCAGATGAGGATGATGATGGGCTCTAGCTGCAGTCTGGCTCCACTGGTCTGGTGTAGAACAGGCTCCCTGGAGGCCCACTTTTATTTTCCACCAATGAGTTTGTTCACAGGGGTGGAGTAGGGGGATGTCCGGATATGTGTGTAAGGAATGCATTGTGTGAATCTGTGTTTGTATATGTAAGGGCTGCAAGGTGTGTTTCTGTGTATGTATGGGATGCATTGAGTGTGTGCATCTGTAAGGGGTGCATTGAGTGTGTGTAAGGAATGCATTGTGTGTTTCTGTGTGTGTAAGGGATGCATTGCTTGTGTGTGTCTGTGTGTGCAATGCATTGTGTGTTTGTGTGTGTAATGCATTGTGTGTTTTTCTGTGTGTAGGGGGCGCATTGTGTGTGTGTGTGTGATGGTGACAATCTCTTCTCCCCCCTCTCCCTCCCTTGTCCCTCTCTTCTCCCCCCCTTGTCCCTCTCTTCTCCCCCCCTCCCTTGTCACTCTCTTCTCCCCGTTGTCACTCTCTTCTCCCCTGCTTGTCCCTCTCTTCTCCCCCCTCCCTTGTCACTCTCTTTTCCCCCGTTGTCACTTTCTTCTCCCCTCCCCACTCTCATTCCCCATCACCCTCCCTGTCATTTCCCCTCCCTGTCAATTCACCCCCCGTCACCTCCCCTCCCGTCCATTCCCCCTCCTGTCCATTTCCCCCCCTCCCCTCCCTGTCCATTCCCCCTCCCTGTCCATTTCCCCCCTCCCTGTCCATCCCCCCCTGTCCATATTCCCCCCATCATTTCCCCTCCCCTGTCCATTCCCCCATGTCAATTTTCTCCCCCTACCTCCGGTAGCGTGGCCGGAGCCCTCTATGGTATGGTCCCGGGTGCAGGGAGCTTTTGTTTCCTGTACCCGGCCGGACTAACAGGAAGTGCACACTCAGTGCACACTTCCTGTTAGTCCGGCCGGGTACAGGGACAGCTGCTCCCTGTACCCGCGGACCATACCATAGAGGGCCCGGCCATGCTACAGGGAGGGAGTGACAGGAGGGAGACCTGAGCGCTTCCCTCCTGTCAGCCCCTCTCCCCATGCTGCGCCCAGGCGGTGCGGTTCCGCCCTCATGGACAAACCGCCTGGGCAAAGCTGCAGCCGCCTGAGGCTCTCTGCAGAGCGCTTGGGCGGCTGCAGTATGAGCGGGGCCGGCGCTCCTGGCGGCGCACCCTCCGAAGGGGCGCCCTAGGCGGCTGCCTAGTCCGCCTTACAGGTAGCGCCGGCCCTGCTTAAATCTAATTAAAAAAAACTAATTGTTGTTGTTTTGGTGACTATAGTGTCCCTTTAAAGAAACACTGTGAGTAACATAACCAAAGCAACACCTATAGACTGCCAGGACAGATCATTGCCATGGTTTGGAGGAAACAGACACTGATAGAATGGAACTGTAAATTCTGCATTTGCAATGCAGTTGAGGAGGGCCAATATGTGTCAAATCACTCAGGGACTCTGTCCTTGATGAGGGTTTGAAAAAATCCTCGGCAGGTATCTCTGCATGCCTCTCTGCCCATGAATAGGGCTGTGCTTTGATGGCTGCCCAGCACCGATCTCAGTGGTCTTACGTGCTCCCAACTTGCGCCGTTACAGTCCATAATGAATGTGGCGGCGAGGCTCATCTTCCTGTCCGCCTGCACCTCCCATGCCTCACCCTTCTGTCAGTCCCTACATTGGCTTCCTATAAAATATAGATCTCAATTTAAAATTCTGGTTCTTGCTTTCAAATCTCTACATAATGCTGCTCCCACCTATCTATCCTCCCTTATACACAAGTATGTCCCGTCTAGGCCCTTACGATCTGCTGAAGACTTACGTTTATCTTCTGCCGTACTCCCACCTCTGATGCTCGCCTTCAAGATTTCGCGAGGGCTGCACCGTTCCTGTGGAACTCGCTTCCCTCCTCCGTTAGATGCTCACCCAGTCTCCACTCCTTTAAAAAAATCGTTAAAAACCTACTTCTTCATAAAAGCGTATCAATTAAACTGTAATAGCTCCTGACTGATTCCTCTTCTGCAACTGTCACTAGTCTAACACTATCCTTACCTTTTTGTGTCATTTTACCCCACTCCCTCTAGCATGTAAGCTTATTGAGTAGGGCCCTCAACCCCTCTGTTCCTGTGTGTCCAACTTGTCTGGTTACAACTACATGTCTGTTTGTCCACCCATTGTAAAGTGCTGCAGAATTTGACGGCGCTCTATAAATATCATAATAATAATAATAATAGAATGTGTGCTGAAGCTGCAACACGAGAGGGAGATCTAACACTTTTTCATCTTAATCCTTAAGATGCTAATAATAGCAATAACAAAAAAAAAAAACAATCATTTCAAGGACTATTTGTAAAACTATGGAATTAAAAATCAGGAATGAAGGCTGTTGGGCTTCAATGGCTTAACCATATAAATAATACCTTCCAGTATATAATAACATCCAGCAGTGTGTTATAAATAGCATTACTGTGCATTTACAGTAGTCCCTCCTACTCCACAGCAATAAACTCAGTAACCTGGAGGAACTGACTCTGAATAAGTATTTGATAAACATGCTGTAGCATGCAGATATAGAATCCATGCAGTGTATAAGCATGAAATGTAAAAAAAGATGTAAATAAAGATAACTCACCTAATTTCCAGAGCCGACAAAGGGTTTTAAACATACTGTAATTTGGACTTCCTAGAAAATGTAATGCAAAAAATTAAGGCTGAGTGATGCAGTTTCCCCCCAATGCATTATACAGAGTGGAGCTGATATCCGACATATGGAAACTCTGGCATTCTGGATACTTTAACCCCTTAAGGACACATGACATGTGTGACATGTGTGACATGTCATGATTCCCTTTTATTCCAGAAGTTTGGTCCTTAAGGGGTTAAACTAATGTTTCTAAATCTTTTCTAATCCAGTTGTATGAATAATAGATTTATTTCAGCCATGTACACTTTACACCAACAGTTTAAAATCAGCAAGTTAAATAAGAAATACTGTGCACAATGTGAATTTGAACTGCTCACTATTTTAAAGTTGTGGTACCCACGGTTTTAGAAACAGATCTCTGGGTTGACTTACTGCTAGCCTTTTGGCTATCTAAGACTTTTGGAAACTGAAATCTTATTCTCAGGAACCTTTCAATGTGATATTACTCAGTTCGTACCACATAGGGTCAGCAAGTGAAAATAAAATGTGTCTATAGTTAATATACATGGCAACTCACTGAAGTGTGCAGAGTCAAGAATTCAAAGTGAATTTAAATTGTAGCAAAATAAAATCCAAACTGCAAATTGAATTCTAAAATAACCATTCTGCTACTAAAGCGGTGTTGGAGAATGTACCCAGATCAGCTTTATTCCCTAAATTTTAACATTGAATTTTCTTTGTGTGCTACTTTCAGAGTTTAGTGAATAATCCCCTCCAGATAATAACCTTGAGAGTTGGAGTCATTCACTAATCCAAGTACTGCGTAGTATTGACAAAATATTAAATATTAGGCCAAAATAGCAAAGATTACATGAGTTGGGAAATATTTTCACAAGGTTAATGCAGCTAAATATTTGCAGTCCTCTAGTCAAGACATCACAATTATGACTGGGTTCATTATCAAAGTGAGAATTCAAAGTGAATTTCAAATTTAAGACCAGACTAGACAAACTGATAGCTTAGCATACTTAAGAGAATGAATCCAGTTCGGCTATTTTAACCTTAAACTTGACATTTACTTTGAATTCTCAATTTAGGAAAGAATCCTGTTGGCTCTGTTGCATCAGCTCATGACTGCATTTAAAAGCATGTGCAGAAGGGAACTATTTCCTTACTAGAACAGCAGAATTTCGATTGATCTATTTTATCACTAATTCTGTTTACCTTAACATGTTACCATTACAAAGCCTGTAGATTCTAAAGTGGTCCCTGGACACACAGAATAGTAGCATCTTTGTTCTAAGGTTACTGGGAGTTGCAGTCCATCTCAGGTGAAGCTCTAAATTGCCTAGTGCTGATTTACACCCGTGAGAGGAGTTCTCAGACGCTTTAGAGGGGTAAAGTGGGCATTTCCTAGTAAAAGGCGACTTGCCAGCTGTCAGTGTGGGTCACAGGATACTAGGTAACAAGTCACCGAGTTAAAGGACGGCCTGATAGTGGGGAGTCTGCAGGAAGAGAGGCCCCAGCTGTGTTACATCAGCATGCTGGCAGGGAAGTAAGGACAAACAATGTCACATGTGGTGAGTACTGCATGTCATGTGTGACCCAAGGGCACTGACCTCAGGGGCTACCAGGAATGGCTACAAAGGGCAGGCTGGGGGCCAGCTGGCAGTGAACACAGCATGGTGTAGCCTAGGACAGGTGAAGGGGTGGGAGATACATTATTAAACATTCTGGCAGCAGACTGGGGACATGGCCAGATGTGCAGGTGTTAATAAATGGGATTTTAAAGGTAATACTCACCCTGGCTGTGCTGTTCTGGTATGTGAAAGACACCTCTTCCTCCCTGCTGCTGTCACAATGAGTCCGCCCACAGCCATGTTTAATATCAATGAGCCATCCTATAGCACACCCATAGCGCATGCCCTCTTTAATCCAGCCTTAATGGAGGAATGGGCTCAATGCAGACAGCCTGTGTCATTAGGGATCCTGGGCTGGCCATGTTAATCAGGGGGTATGTGTTAGTGAGCTGAGTTATGAGTTATATACACTCTTAGAGGTGTTGTGTTATATAAATCCTGGTCTTATGCTGTTAGTTATAACTCCTATGACACCAAGGCAGCCTCAGAAAGTTGCAGTCTAATGCAGCAGATGTACTTGACTAGAGGTTGTGTATTTATCATTTATAGAATTTAAAGGGGCCCCATGCCAGATTCTGGAGTCCCATCTCACCTTATACACTTGAGTAGCTGCTGCATGAGGTAAAAATAAACCTCTCATTTCTGCCGACGATTGACAATGCCTATACTTATGGCTTTGCCCCCAACCTCATAAACAGTTGTTTTTTTTGCCTTTTTCCCATTTTGTTACAATACTTATCATACCATAGATAATGAATGAGGGATGCAAGAATTCAGTTGGTTTGAGTAAGAAAATGAACTTGTCTAGAATCTATTGAACCCGTAGACCTGCCATCTTAATGAACAAACTCAAAAGACACAAAATACTATTTAACACTCTCAAAATCCTATTCAATTGGTATTATGGGTTAATTAATTTTGTGTGTCTGGCAAAGCATGTCAATTAGAATAGAATGAAATATGAACACAACAAATGGCACAACCAATAGGGAATTCTCAGTAAGCTAATTCTGCCAAACTTTCTTTTCACAGCTCCTCTTTAAGCAGCATAACACCTACTTAAGCCATGCACATGCATTAAGCCTTCCACATAGAAAAGCATCGAATCAATGCATTTTTATGGGGATTTAAACTCGCTTATTGTGCTCATGTCATGTTCTCTGTGAAACTGCCGTGTTTTACATTGCAGGGTTAAGTGGACAGGGACAGTACACGAATACCAGACCACTATAGGCACCCAGAGATGCAGTGTCCTGGGTGCCTATAGTGTCCTTTTAGGTTATGGGGGTGGGAGTGTTCCTTTAAGTGGACTAAGAAACCTATTTGAACATTGCTGATAATTGGTAGACTTGTGTAAAAAAAATTGTTTTGCCCATGAATGAAATGATTCTTATAATTCAAAATCCATTTAAAGTGGCTCTGCCCTACGTGGCTCTGCCCCACGTGGCTCTGCTTGTATTCCGAAGGCCATGGTGGGCAGGGGAAGGTAGTTTTTACTTACTTGAACCTCTCTCGCATAGGCACTGCCATCGTCTTCCTCAAGGTCTACTTCAGCTCCTCACGTTTCACATGCCAGAAGCCGTCAGCACTGTACTCTCTCACACGCGAGGGAGCACTACACTGATGTTTATGGAAGATCCCTCAAGACCCTCCATAGAAAGAGCCTTTTAACAAAAAACTCTGCCTTTTGTCAAGGGCAGGAGAAATAAAAAATACAACGTAGTCCCTACTGTGTCTTATAATATCTTTTAAATGGGTTAGAATTTCAGTGAATTTTTTTTTTTTATTCTTTATTTCGTTTGTTTTATGTAAAATTACAAATTATTTAATACATTTTTTATTTTTATGAAATGCTCATTTTTATTGGTGGGTGACAGAGCCGCATTACTCCACAGCCGAATTAAATGATTAATTCTGGAAAAATGTATTTTGTGAATGAATCGATTATTTCAGTTGTGGATTAAAAGTATTTTACTTCTTAAGAATCGATTTGTTTATGGACAAAATAAGTTTTTGCACAAATCTAATATTGGCCATGCATGTATCTCTCTGAGCAGTTTGCCCCATTTTGTTGTAACGATTTTGGTTTTTAGAAGCTGTGTTTTCAAACTACTCTGTGTCCTTACACAACTGCTTTTATCCAAATGTGTATCTTACTGTGGAAATCACAACACTGGACTTTTGACCAACTCATCAAACCGGACTTTGGAATCATCCACGTGCTGACAGAATGTTCTAATTCAGCAATCATTTTGGAGTGACTGAGTTTAATGAATACAAGCAGAACATTTTCAAATCACATGATGCACCGTTCGTGACACCACACTGTGCATGGTATGGTGCTATTAGGGATTCGCAAACTCCAGGCAGTACCAGGACATACGTGTTCTGGATTGCCCATGATTGCTGAGAATTACACTACCAGAGGGTTTGAATTAAGGGACGCGTTATGCACTGTAACTATTTAATCTCATCAAAGTGGTTATAGTGTCTGAAATCCCCTGGCACTGTCCTTCCATTCAGTGTTAAACCGTTCTTAATGGTTTAATGCTAAAAAAGAGCAACTTTCAGTCCATCTCCTCTGTACTGCCTGGGCTAAAACGGAGCATTAGCCTGAGCAGCAATGGGCAGCTGTGATTGGCTGAGAGTGTCAGTCGCTTTCAGCCTATTACAGCCCCCCATTGCTGGTGTAAATGGGTATGGCTAGGGAAGAGTGTAATCTCTGCCTTAGCCATAATGCTCGAAACTGGTCTAATACTGAATGGAGGGAAGGTGCCAGGCGACTCCAGGCACTAAAATTCAATTAATGGTTGTAGTGCCGCCCTACAGTGTCCTTTTAAGGATATAATTCACAAACACAACCTGCTGCCTGAAAGTGTAACTCCACCAATGTCCAAAACTCAGACTGTATCATATCCCGGTGCTGCCCCAAGACTAAAGAACCCCAGCCCTAAACCTAGCACTGACCTTTTTTTTATAAAACAAAAATCATATAATATAAAAGATACATAATGCACTGAACCATGTATTGGGGAATATCTCCAGAAACCCTCAATTACATAGACAGGCAGACAGACAGCTACATACCACAAGCAATATTGAACTGGAATATCTGTTCAATAAATATTTTCTACAAAGCAGCCACATTGTATCGGGACAGCATGACAGACAAACCGCTCAGCAAGTTACATAATGCTTGATGTGCTTCAAACCATAAATTGTTCATTCATTAACAATACTGAAAGCCACAGTATGTAGTTTTGCCCATAAGGCTGTTACGCGTTAGAAAATAGCGCACAGTTGAACCGAAGAGGTAAAATACACTTTGGAATTAACAGTACCTTTAACTCCTTCATTCGATAGAACACTTCATTTTTCTGCATTAGCCTATCACTGGCCTCCCTTTGCAAGTACTTGTACTAGCTGTGGTTGCATTAAATATGGGAATGGACACATCTTGCACAGTTGGAGTGGGAATAAGGATTGGTAATGTTGGCATGTGGAGGGCACACGATGAGGAGAACTGGCAATGGAGGCCCGAGATGTGAGGATGGAGAGAGCTAACTAACTATGGGGGCACAAAATGAGGGAATCGAGAAGAATAGCTAGAGGGAAGGTGGGGGGATGGCTGGTATCATCATTGCAATGCATGCTGGAGAAACCTCTACCCTAATAATAAGAGCTCACATTCAAATTTAAATACGTATTGCATTCTGAACCTTAAATATTGTCATGATTTTACATAATATTCGGGGCATACATAAAACACACAAAAACTTTTTTTTTTTTTTTAAAGTAGATCACAATTCATTATTGTGGAGTCGACAATTATATTCTGGGCACCCCTACTCTAGGGCCTCACAGTGGGACCAGTTAGCAATGGCCATAACCCCAACATCTACAAAGAAATATGGTTTAGATCAGGGTGCCCAGATCGGGAGTTTTACATCAGACGAAAAGACTTAACCCAGATAGCCTTCCCATGGAGTCAATCGCATACCGAAAGACTGTAAGGACTTTGACTCCATGGCGATTGAATTATGCGTATGGGATCTGAGCACTATTCGCCAATAATATGCCCTCAGATCCAGGCTATCTGGGGATATGTGATGCGAATGTGAAATGTTCGGTTGTTATAAAGTTATATATTTTTATGTATTTTCTGGTCTTTTACTTAAAATGGCGATGTGTCTTTGTCCTGGAGATAATTAAATTACTTCCCAATTATCTCCAGGGCAGAGGGGAGGAAAACATACTGCATTGTGGGAAAAGCTTGTGACTGTATGTCTGTTATGCCCTCATGTCCATCTGTAATTCCAGTCTCCCATTTGGTCCCCTAGGGGAGTGTCCACCAAGTTGGAGACCTGCATAAATACGGGCAGGTAGCCCACAGTAAAGCCAGATCCTGTTTGACCCTCAATGCGGAGATTTGTCTCGTTATTGGGGGGATTTATTACTGATGCCTAGAGACTGATTACTGGAACCGAAATCCGCTTGGCGGATATCTTTGTTCAGCGGTTAGCGGCGGTTCGTGGATTTCTGTTCGGGAGTTTGAGCCCTTCACGGATCCCCTGATGGTGGTTCGTATACCGCAGTCTATACGAACAGAGTTACTGATATTGCGAAAGGGGAAGGTTAACTAAACGGCGGTTTCTCTTAAAGACACCAGGGGTGTCTTAACAATTGGTGGCAAGCGACGGGATGAATCCCACAGCACAGAAGGTCATCTACACATCCCAATTTGGTGGAGGAAATGCAGTATGAGGAATAAAGGCGTGCTACCCTTAAAGACATACTTGAATGCCGAGCACGGTCAGCAAGCAATTTGAAAAAGCGAGAAATTATTGCTTTGCTACTGGAGATGGATGCAGCACAGGGAATGGAGAGAGCTAATGTGCCCAGCATTTTGGATTTAACACCTGAGGAGATACAGTTTAACGGGGCAGTTCAAATAAGGCTGGCACACTTTGGCCCCAACCCCTCAGCAGACATTGTGGAATGTGTGCAGGCAGCAGTGATGGCACACCAAGCGCTCCAGGAAAGAGGAGCTGCAGCAGTAGAGGTACCCAATAACAATTTTGGAAGAAAAAAGGTACCCTTTGCTGCGTTTAAAATTTTTATTGAAACAGAGGGAGAGATTGACGGGTTCCTGGCTGACTTTGAAAGGAAGTGTGCCCTGCACCAGGTACCCGCAGACGAATGTGTCACCATCCTCTCTGGGAAATTATCCGGCCAGGCTAGTGAAGCATTTCGGGCCATCCCAGAGGAGGACATCACCAGCTACCGAGCGGTGAAAGATGCGCTCTTAGCCAGGTACGCGGTGACCCCAGAAGCATACAGACAACGATTTAGGGAGACTAACAAGCAGGTTGGCGACTCCTATGTAGAGTGGGCCTTCAGGCATGGGAGTCCGCAGGGGGGGGCAAGGGGGGGCCCCCTGCCCCCCCCTGGATTTTTCAGCTTGTTCTGCTATTTTTCGTGTGATTTAAAATGAACTGCAATACCGCCGCCGGCCAGTGTATGGAGAGAGACAGGGATAGGAAGCTGCATCTTATCCCTGCTTCTCTCTGCTGATTGAAACCGCAGGGGAACAACACATGCAGCCAGAGACAGCCTACAGATCAGGTAAGTGGGAGGAGGGTTTGAGAGGGGGGCAGCAGCCTTAGCAGCAGCCCATAGATTTGGGGGGCAGCAACCCAGATTTGCAGCAGCCTGCAGATTTGGAGGCAGCAGCAGCATAGACTTGGAGGCAGCCCAGCAGCCTTGGGGCCGCCCATAGATTTGGGGCAGCATAGCCTATAGCAGCAGCCTTTTTAGACCAAAGGCGTTTCAGGGGGCAGCAGCCCAGAGCCCATAGATTTAGGGATTTGGGCAGCAGCCTATAGATTTGGGGGCAGCAGCCCATAGATTTGGGGCAGCAGCCCATAGATTTGGGGCAGCAGCCCATAGATTTGGGGGCAGCAGCCCATAGATTTGGGGAGGGGGGCAGCAGCCTATAGATTTGGGGGGGCAGCAGCCTATAGATATATAGAAATGAACAGGAAGGGTCAGCAAGGAGCTTGAAGGTAAAGCAGCACAAAGGTAAAGTAGAAGGAGCAGAAAGGGTCAGAAATGAGCTGGAAGGGGCAGAAGGAGCACAAACATAAAGTAGGAGAATGAGCAGGAAGGGCCTGCAAGGAGCAGGAAGGAGCACAAAGGGACAGCAAGGAGGACAAAGGTAAAGGAGCAGAAAGAATCAGAAGGAGCACAAAGGTAAAGTAGGAGAAAGAGCAGAAAGAGACAGCAAGGAGCACAAAGGTAAAGTAGAAAAGGGAGCAGAAAGGGTCTGCAAGGAGCAGAAAGGGACCAGAATGAGAAAGGAGCAGAAGGGCGCAAAATAAGCAGAAAGTAGCAGAAAGGTAAAAGAGCAGAAGGGGCCAAGGATAGAAAACAGTGTAAGAAGAAAAAAAAAGACTGTCAAATGAAGGAGAGGAAAAGGAGATTGGAGCAGGAAGGACAAATGAAGTGAACCCTCCACTTTATTCTGGACACCACATCATAAGGCTTTGGTACCTGGGCCTGGCAGGGAAACGCTGGACCTTCTCATCTCCAAAAGTAAAAAAATATCAGTATTAATGTGTTCACTTATATTTACTGAGTGTCAGGAAGCACAGAGTGACGTTGGGTAGGGGTGTTGCTGATTGGCTAGAGCGGTCAGCTGGCACTCTAAGCCAATCAGTAGTTCCCCATTCATAAAAAAGTAAAAATATTTTATGAACCGGGAACTAGCGATTGGCTTAGAGCGTCAACTGACCACTCTAGCCAATCAGCGGCACCCATGCCTGACGTCAATCTGCACTTCCTGACACTCTGTTTCAGAAGCCAAATACCACTGAGTGACCTGGAGCTGGAGGAAGCCTTTGGGGTTAAACCATTTGAGAGCGATTTAACCACTTAAAGGAAAGCGAGCACTCAGGGGCTTCCTGGCATCATAGCATTTTCATTTAGGTGAAGTTGTTATGGTGACCAGAAATGTCCTTTAATTTGCTTAAAGGAACACTATAGTGTCAGGAATACAAACATATATTCCTGACACCATAGTTGTGAAAACGCTATTCACCCTGGCTTTATGTGATAATGGCTATGCCCCTTCCCTTTCATGACACTGTCAAAAAGGTACCAAGCATGGATGTCATTACAATTATGCCCCCACCTGGAAAAATTCCTGCGGACGCCCATGCCTGCAGGGTCCACCGTACCGCAGCCCACTGGATGGCAGGATGCCAAGCGGTAACTGGGGAAGAGGTGCTGCAGGTGTTTTTGCTGGAACACTGCTTCGACAGATTACCTGCCGGGGTCAGAGAGTGGGTCAGAGATAGAAAACCCTCTACCTTACCCGAGGCTGCCCGTCTGGCAGACGAATATACAGACGCCCGCAAGTTGGACAGTACAGCTACCAAGGTTCCTGCCAGAATGCCGACCTGCCGACCAACAGCAACCCCAGCACAAACAGCATACCAACCACCAGTACACCGCACTCCAGCAGTACCGCCAGCGAACAATTACACGCAACCCTCCCTGTTCTATGCCCGGGATTATTCGCAGCCCATTAGGTGCTTTGGGTGCAAACAGTTGGGGCACAAGCGACCAGAGTGCCCACTGAACAGCGCCAATCAAGCTCAGTCCTGGAGGAGACCAACCAGCGGGAATCAGCGGCCACCTCACTGTATCGAGCAGGAGGAATTCTGGGGCATCCTACACGAGGCCGACTCAGTGCAAGCAGCTCATCAGGACAATCGTCAGCAACACCGGGAGACTGTGAAGCTGAATGGCAGAGTGGTGAACGGACTGAGAGACACAGGAGCCACTATGACACTGCCCCCAAAGAACCTAGTCTCAGAACACCAGCACACTGGAGACACTGTGGCAGTGAGGGTAGCAGGAGGCGCCGTGTTCAGCTTACCTGTTGCCCGGGTCCATTTGGATTGGGGAGTGGGCGCTAGACACGTGGATGTGGGGGTTATGAAAGACTTGCCCGCTGATGTTCTTCTTGGGAACGATTTGGCCCCTTTGGTTTCGGCTTATGCCCCGATGGGTCCCGCTGACGTTAACCCAGTGACTACTCGTGCTCAGACCCGTGCTTCTGGAACTGGCTCACCTGCTGATGAGACCCAGGTAAGACCCTCTTCCCCAACTGGTACCCTAGATCAGGCCACCTTAAGCTGGGATTCCCCAGAGGAGTTTGGGAGGGAAACCCGGGCGGATCTGACTCTCCAGAAGTACCGAGATAGAGCAGAGGCTGGAGAGGAAGGAGTAGATGGGGAGCGGTATGAGTGGGTGGGGGACAGGCTATATAGGATCCTGAAGCCTTCCCAGAAGAGTGTAGCCCCTCCACCGAATCGACAGCTAGTGGTACCTGCAAAATACCGGCAGGAGATTCTGCGGATAGGGCATGATGTTCCATTAGCTGGACATCTAGGGTCCCGTCGCACAGCCTATAGGATCTCACAGAATTTCTTTTTGCCCAACTTTAACCAGGCTGTGCGGATGTATTGCAGTACGTGCGACACATGTCAACGGGTAGGAAAGCGGGGGGACCACCCTAAGGCTAGGTTATTATCGATGCCTACTATAGGGGAGCCCTTTTCCCGCATAGCTGTTGACATTGTGGGTCCACTGGCCAGGGCTAATCCCTCCGGTAAGAAATATATTCTTACTGTGGTGGACTATGCCACTCGCTATCCAGAGGCACTAGCTCTGTCTAATATAGAGGCAGAGACGGTTGCTGATGCCCTGGTTAGAATTTTCACTAGGGTCGGGTTCCCTAAGGAGATCCTCTCCGACCAGGGAACCCAATTCACCGCTGTGCTCACTCAGCAGCTGTGGAAGGTGTGTGGCATTAAACCATTGCTTAGCGCACCCTACCATCCACAGACTAACGGTCTCTGTGAGCGCTTTAACGGTACCCTCAAGCAGATGCTGAGGACCTTTACAGATACTTGCAGAGACTGGGAGAGGTTCCTGCCTCATCTGTTGTTTTCTTACAGAGAGGTGCCCCAGGAATCTACTGGGTTCTCCCCCTTTGAGTTGCTTTATGGGAGAAGGGTCCGCGGACCCCTAGATCTCATTCGGGGCCACTGGGAGGGGGAGGGGGAGCAGGAGGGGACCCCCATAGTGCCATATGTCCTGGAACTCCGGGACCGCATGGAGAAACTGTCCCTGATGGTAAGGGAGAATCTCCAGGCGGCTCAGGGGAGATAGAAGAGGTGGTACATTCTGATAAACTTTGCTTAAAAACGCTAATTATAAAATAAGGTACAAAATACACATTTTTGCTCAAGTGATAGTTCTCTGTATACAGTGATGCATGTTTCTATTGAAAACCATAAAAAGCTAACCCAACTTCACCCACAGAGACCTAAACAAGGACAATAAGGACAGGACAACTTAGCTGTGTATTAAGGTGATTACACCTGGCACACCCATTGCTCACAGATATGGTCAAGGGCCTATTACCTTTGTAAAACAAGGCTTTTCTAGGAGAACATAGGTAATAACAGACTGTAAAACTGCACATGGCATATTATGTTGGATGCACAATTCCTCAACATCAACAATCAAATTGGCACTGCCAAAAATAGTCGTTTAGAATTCATACTTTGGGAGTGTTGGCTACACATAAATCACTGTAGGATGCTATTTTGTAGAAATAATTCAAGACTGTGACATTTGCAGTGTTTATTTGTTTACACAATCATTCTTCTTTGTACCTGCTGACACAGCTCATTTCCCTGCTGTTTAAAAGCAGCAGTTAAGAATTGTTAATAACAACAGATGGTAGATGTTTGCAGCTTAAAATACGGACTGTTATCTTGGTCCAACTCTGTTTTTAATATCTGTTTGCTACTCACATTCACCTCCACTGATACCAACCACCACTAAGCACTTGCCACTTTGAACACTGGACGTACATCAAGAAAAAGGCTCAGTTTCCAATTTATTGCCATAGCAATTGCACTAGGATGCTATAAAAGGTTTGATCAGCAAATGCACACCTCACCTGCTATCATCTTAGCAAGTTGCCCTTGTATTTGCATACATCTGACTTCACTGTTTTGGGTTTTTTTTAATTGAAAACTACATATATCACGATTATAGATAGGCTTTGGTCTTCAATGGTCTTTATAGAAGATACCACACTCAATTTTAAGGGGCACACAGATGTCAGTAATCTGTACTGCAAAGTTCCTAAAGTATACTTTAAGTGCATGTCACCCCTATGTCACTTTTGATGAAGGCCCACCTGCGTCATTCTTAAAACATCTTTTCCGTGTAGTGAATCTGAGAGTGTTATTTTTCTTGTATTTTCTTGTATTCATTCCTGGTTATTTGACTTTGGCTTGCCTTTGAATATTGTCCTATCTGTAATCCTAGAAACTGGCTTGTTTACTCGTACTCACTGCCTTCTGTTGCCCCAGACCTTGGATTGCATCTGACTTTTCTCATACCTGTCCTACAGGTCTTGGTTACTTTACTATCAGCGTTAAGTTTGACTATCTCTAAGGACCGATAATACGCACATGTCCATCTATATAATTTCCTATCTACCTAGATGTGACCTAAGCTCTGCATGCTGGGCAGTGTAATATGGTGGGGATATTACATTGGGGGATGAAGTTGTTTTGGTGCCTAGCATGTGCCTTCAGCTATAGAACTTTATGTTTTTTTAATTATAAGATGTATTGAAAGTTTACTATTGCTAACTGTAGGCAGGTGTAATCAGTTTTAGTTACCAACAGATGGCCATTTTTACCATTTATCATAGAAAGTAGGTGTTATTTAGCTTTAAGGGGCTATTGTTAATCTCTGTGGGAGATGTTAAAACTTTTAGCAGCCGTTAGTTACCAATCATCAAAAGGTTTTGTAGCACAGTAACAGTGACAGCTATTTTAGCAATTATTGACCTGAGAAAATTAATGGCAGTAAGCCAAAGGAAACTGTGTAAAATGCTGTGGTAGTGGTTACCACACAAACAGGAGTGGGCCAATCGCTTAGGGTTGAAGAAAAGGGTGTCAGGGTAGTGAGTGGAACTAAACACCACTCAGCCTGCTTGAAGAAGGGAGGTGTGGCACTGCGGTATGGCAATGGCCTAGGCACACTAATATCCACATATATCAAATAAAGAGTGCACTGCACTCAAGATGGCTGACATACAGAGGTGAGCTTCATTGTTGATAACAGATCCTCTCTCCTGGTTTTGCTGGTAATTTGGAACCTTAGAAGTCTTTGGTTAGAGATAGAACTTTACTATTCATCAAATTGTTTCATCATCAGTTTCCTGCTGTATTCATATGCTACAAAGAGGGCTCCATTTGCTGGGAATGCTCTGATTAAGGTAGGTGTCAGCCCTGAATATAGGGCTAACACACCTGCAAAATAAGAAACGTATTATTTAGACAGTTGCCACAAGTCCATGTAAAATGTACAAAAATTGAAGGATGAGATATGAGTTTAAGTTCAGTCAATTCTGCTGTATATTTTAGAGCAATAATGGCTGAAAACAGCACTGCTTACTTTTGTGGACTACATTTTCCATGACAGACTTTCAATCCTCGGAATCTCACTTTGGGGAGATATGTGTAATTTGTGGATGTGTGTGTCTGAATGTCAGTGTGAATGTCTGTGTGACCCCAAAATACACGCCTGCGATAGAGATTTGAGCCTATCCTAGTGAGGCTCACCTCCATGTGAGTGGATCTTATTACACCAATATTCACTCTTTGTAGTGACATATTACACTATATTTCCATCTCTCCCCCTTAGATTATATATTTCAGTTTTGGGGGGTAAGTGATTGGTGTTAAAGCGCTCCACCTCTTTGACTGGGGTTGGTTTCTATACCACACAGTTTAACACTGTTTTATTATCATTTATGTCAAGGAGTGAGAAACTTACACGCTGGTGGTAGCAGCTCATATATATTTGTACCAATATTGTTTACACAAAATATCTATTGTTATAATGAATGTCTGTGTAAGTGTATGGACGAGTGTCAGTATGAGCCTGCGCAGGAATGTAAGTGTAAATCTGTGTAGTATGATTGTCAGTATGCGTATATGTATTGTGGTGTATGCATATTAGCATCTTGTATATTAATTTGTATCTTTGTATCAATTAATGTGTGTTTATGATTGAGTGTTACTATGTATGCATGCTCGTGGGGGGGGGGGGAAGCTTCTTACTAGCTAGTTGGGGGTATGTGCAAGTTATGTATGTGTGCCAGTGGCTAGTGATGTGTGTGTGTATAGCTAATTGCATGTATGTGTTTGCGTGAATGACACTGTGAATGAGTGTAGGCGGACTCCACAAATGGTATGGATGGCCCTATTTCCTGATACTCCGCTAAACACGAGTACAACGAATGCTTCACTCCAGCAAATGTATTGTTTCTGCTGTCCTTACCAGTTCTGGAAAATCTAAATGTATACAGACTAATCATCTCTAAAAGTCGAACGGTTGACTATAACTAAATCAATTTTCACCTCAGGTGTAGCTTTGATTGATCTATATTTTAGATCCATGTTTTTTGTGGAATGTGAGAAGCCCCCTATACATATTGTAAATGTGAAGGCAGTCAACCTTTCCACTGTTTTGACAACCCCTAACGGACCCCTTAAAGGTTTACTGTCATTTTTTTCTTTCAGTTTTCCTTTTCTTATGATTTTACTTTACGCAGCCTCTTGCCTTCATTATTTCTTATCTTTTCCTCCTTGCCCCAGGTATCAGATATCAATATCCAAATTTCATAGTAACAATTCAATCACATACAAATCCCTCTGCTACCTCTTGTCTCATATCCCCAGTTTAACCTTTAGATTGTAAGCTCACGGGCAGGGTCCTCTACCTGTTGTATCGGTCTGTTCTTATTGTGTTTGTCTTTTTCCCAATTGTACAGCACTGCGGAATTTGTTGGCACTTTATAAATGCCAGTAATAATAATAATAATAATCTTGTATATGTATGTAAACAACACACAATTTAGCAGAATGTGTGATAAAGCGAATGTATGAAAAGTGTCAAAATGTAATTGGGGCTTCTAATCTTAAAAAAAATATGTATTTTTTTATTTGGTGGTTATTGGTTTTGTGATCACTGTTAAAGTGCCCCAGTCATGGTATCTATACCTTAAATTACAGAAATGTTACATTTCATCTTTACATTGTGCTAGTAGAAATCCAAGCGTTTTAATTTAATGCCTCTTAAAGTTTTTCTTCTGTCCTCACCTGTTAATCAATCCTTAGTATCTAAGTAGAGGATTGAGTGTCAGGGACAGCAAGAGTACCCTCCCGAATCCCAAAAGTAGCTCTCTTGCTCCATGATACTCTTCTACTCCCCAGCCAGCATTTCTCAAGCTTTCAGAGGGATTAGGATGCTCTGATGCCTAAATGCTGACCCTGAAACCAATTTGTTGGTGTGGAGCAGAGCTGGAGCAACTGCAGGCCATATAAATGATATCCTTACTGTTAAATATCAAAGTAAACATTTCATGGCAGATTTACTTTAAATAATGGAGGGTAGATTAGAGAAACACACACACACATATATATATATATATATATATATATATATATATATATATATATACACATATAGTATACCTTCATTTCTTAAAATTCTTCCAAATGTCCTGATGAATCCTGCTTGTTTTCCCATCATAGAAAGGACTTGAATTCTGGATTTAACACAATCCACTGGAAACACAACTAGCCACAAGGAGATCCCTCCAATGCCTCCGCTAATCATCAGGGGAAGAACCCCTAGGAAGGACAAAATGTTAATTTTGGATAAATTATAGTCAATAAACTTGTATTAAAGTAGAACGATAGATGAACATAGCATGTTAATTGGCAATTGCCATAAGCTTACACAAACAAGGAAATCACTTTCAATATCAATATAACAATAATTGTTATGGTAAATTAAAAATTAGGCATTCAAGAAATGTTTCTCTTTAAATACATCTCAGAATGATCACTTTTTTAGATAAATTAATTAGCACTTTCTTGACTTTCATTAAAAAGGAACTGGTACATTGGATATACAAATTTTTTTTTAATTGTTTGAATTTGCACATTTTTTTTTCTGTATATTATATTAATATTGCACTCTGGAACCCTTCGGAAAAGGCGCAAATGTATATGTATTCTTCGTGCAAATAAACTCACATTTCCCATGATTTCAATTTGGACAAATCCCCAAACTGAGTGCTATTAAAGTTAATCATTTTTAAGCAAACTCACATCATAAAGAGAATCTAACTATTATTCACTACATTATTATTCACTAAAGTGAGAATTGAAAGTAAATTTCACATTTAAGTCCAAAGTGGTCAAACTCGACACATTGCTGAATTAAATAATTTTTCTGGTTTATCTGTTTTGACTTTCATTTTTAAATTAATTTTGAATTCTCACTTCAGTGAATAATTTTGTAAGAGGTAAGTTTTGATTGCGATAAATTTGTCTGCCCTAAGCTGATACAACTTTCCGCTGTAGAGGGAAGAACGGAGGAAACTGTATAATGAATGGTGAATCTTTGAACAATTATTAGTCAAGATGGCTACACCCAATACCTGGATCAGTTGGTGGTGCTAAGCTGACTTTATATATAGTTCTGCTCACTATTTAACAAAACAATATATATCAGTAGCATATATTGGGATGACTGTACTGTAAAACATAAAAAATATAAAGACAGGTCCTCTTCAAATCATTATAAGCAAATCAGTCATCTAAATAATCTTTAAAGCTTCTAGCATAAAACTCTCCATCTCAGCATTATCTAAAAATTGTTCAGCGGTTTTCTGGATGTTGTTGTCAGTTACATTGCTGTGTCATAGGTATTTGGTGTGCAAAAGCAGGTTGAGTGAAATAAGCGATGCAAGCACCAGTGGAAGGGGAACGTCAAGTCAGAAATACAGTAAATCAGTTTCCAAACATGTGCCTTAGGTGTAATCTGGATCTACTTTCCGCATAGAAGATTGTGAGCCTCTCTAGAATGTCTGCTAATCAAACTGACAGTTTCCCCGAAGAAGCAATTTAGTTACTAAATTGAATGTAAACGTTGTAATCCGGTGTATCTTTGTTTATATTTCTTCCTATATGCAGATTACCATACCACAGAGTATTTGAATATATATAATTTCAGTAATCCATCTGAGCTACCAGCTGTAGAGCAGGTAGTTGCTCTATTATTTGGGAGTAATGTCTAACCACCATTCTATCACAATACTGTATTATCAATGTTGTTATCCATCAGAGTTGCCAGTTGTAGAGCAGGTGGTTGCTACATTATTTGCGTGTAAAGCCTAGCCACCATTCTATCACAATACACACTGTATTATCAATTTTGTTATCCAACTGAGCTACCAGTTGTAGAGCAGGTTGTTACTCCATTATTTGTGAGTAATGTCTAATCACTATTCTCTCACAGTAGTGTATTATCAATGTTTTTATGCATCTGAGCTGCCAGTTGTAGAACAGGTAGTTGCTCCATTATTTGCGATTAAAGTCTAACCGCCATTCTATCACAATGCAATACCGTAATATCAATGTTGTTATCCATTGTTATCCATCTGAGCTACATATTGTAGAACAGGTCATTGCTCCGTTATTTGTGAGTAATGTCTAATCACTATTCTCTCACAATACAATACATATTATTAATGTTGTTTTTCTTTGTGTACACACCCACTGTGGATTTCATCTCTGCCTACCATTGTAAGTATATGAGTGTTGTTCTTTATAAAAATCATTTTATTGTATAGCACATTTAGTTTGTTCTTTATTATAGATTTTTACAGTTTCAGAGAATAATATGCATATTTGTTTTCCTGCTTAATTTTATTATTTATGTATAAACTCATGTTATGCCATAATATGCTTGTTTCTCTCACTTACCACTTACTGTTAAGATTTGGGAGTTCAAGCTCTGCCCATTTTCACTTTCTACCATAAATAAACACTATTTTGCTTCAATAAAATTCCAATTTAGTGTTTATCAGGGCCTTTCGCTAAAGTCTGAATTTTTGCTAATTAAATTTAGGTGGAATAACTGAGGCATAAATAGCTAATTTGGAAGAATTCTTCAACTCTCTAAAGCTATACTCACACCATGGCTTATTTTTCCATTTGGATTTCATTCCCAAAAATTCAGTGTGTAGAGAACAACCATGTAACAGTTTTGAAAAGATAAAACACTCAAAAGCACTGAGTAGATGTTGCAGAGTTTTGTCATAATTTAATATTTTCACAGCAGTATGTTCGGTAGACCGTTCCCATATTGACATTCAGTTACTTGTAGGACATGTATCTCCACCTTAGTGAGAAGGCGCCTTAATGAAAATAGCCTCCTCGGAGGCTCGTGATGGGGTTGAATACAAAAATAAATGCATCATCAGAATGGAAAATAAGATAAAGGAAGGAGTAAATATGTAGCATTACCTACCCAGTTCATCTTTTGTTTTCTCTCCAGATATAAATAATGAGCGTCCCAATTCATAGCCTCCAAAAAAGAAGAAGTATCCGGGCACTTCTCTCAGCAGCGTGCTGGACAAACCGTGATAAAACCCCATTGGACCATCTGTACGTAGAATACTCTTTACCACTGACCACACTGTGCTATGGAGATGACAGGACTAACAGGTTATTATGGTCATTGCATGTTAGTTAGAAATTACAACTTCCACCAGTCTCAAAAGAGATTTGTCTTTTAAATCCCGAATCAGAAACCCAGGATGGCAATATTTACCCAAAATACATGCTTTGGCATCATGTGTATTTTATGTTATAGGATTTATTTATTTTTTATTTTAGGGCTAGGTTCAGGCTAGTGCAGCACAGGGAAAAGATTGTTGCTGCTCTCCTCAGTTTAATTCTTCTCCCATAAATGATTTGCTGGGAGGGAAACTGAGGAGAGAGAATTGCACTAGATCAGTGATTTCCAACCCAGTCCTCAAGTACACCCCAACAGTGCAGGATGCAGGGATTACAATAAAAGACACACCAGGGTAAGCCCTAACTCCTGGTCTGTTAGGGGGTACTTGAGGACTGGGTTGGGAACCCCTGCACTAGATTATTTAAATTGTGAATTTAAAGTAAATTTCAGATTCAAGTTAAAATAGCCAAACTGGAACAATACTCTGCCATCTATCTTTCCACTTTGGCTGCTTTAGCTTTCAATTTGAAATTCACTATGAATTCTCACGTTAGTGAACAACCCTGTGTGTGTCTCCCCAGCCCCTCTCCTGTGATATTAGTATGGAATTTAACAACATTATATTCTTACACTGATCAGCAACAACATTAAAACCACTTACATAGATTATATTGTTACAATGGCACCCATCAAGAGGTGGAATAGATTAGTCAGTTCTTAAATTTCATGTGTCCGAAGCAGGATATAATGGGCAAGTGAAAAGATCTGAGTGACTTTGACTAGGGCCAAATAGTGATGGCTAGACAACTGGGTCAGTACATCTCCAAACTGGTTACCAGTGGTTAGTACTTACCAAAAGTGATGCAAGGAAGGACAACAGGTTAACCGATGTTAGGATAGTGGGTGCCCAGGACTCATTGATGTATGGGGAGTGATGACAAGCCCATCTGGTCTAATCACACAGAAGAGCTCCTGTAGCCCAAGTTACTGAAAAACGTAATATTGGCCAAGATAGAAAGGTATCCGAACACACAGCGCATCACAGTTTTCTGTGTATGGGGCATCGCTACCACGGACTGGCAAGTGTGCCCATGATGACCCCTGTCCACCACTGAAAGCGTCTTCAAAGGGAACACGAGCATCAGATCTGAACCATGGAACAACGGAAGAAGGTCTGATGAACCACATTTTCTTTTACAGTATCGCACAAAAGTGAATACACCCCTCACATTTTTGTAAATATTTTATTATTTCTTTTGATGTGACAACACTGAAGAAATTACACTATCCTACAATGTAAAGTAGTAAGTGTACAGCCTGTATAACAGTGTAAATTTCTTGTCCCCTATAAAATAATTCAACACACAGCCATTAATGTCTAAACTGTTGGCAACAAAAGTGAGTACACCCCTAAGTGGGAATGTCCAAATTGGGCCCAAAGTGTCAATATTTTGTGTGGCCACCATTATTTTCCAGCAATGCCTTAACCCTCATGGTCATGGAGTTCACCAGAGCTTTACAGGTTGCCACTGGAGTCCTCTTCCACTCCTCCATGATGAAATCACGGAGCTGGTGGATGTTAGAGACCTTGAGCTCCCCCACCTTCCGTTTCAGGATGCCCCACAGATGCTCAATAGGGTTTAGGTCTGGAGACATGCTTGGCCATGTGTTTTGAGTTATTTTAAGGAGACAGCAAATTTACACTGTTATACAGGCTGTAAACTTACTACTTTACATTGTAGCAGAGTGTCATTTCTTCCGTGTTGTCACATGAAAAGATATAATAAAATATTTACAAAAATGTGAGGGGTGTACTCACTTTTGTGAGATACTGTAGATCAGATGTATGGCTAGGTGCATGTGCCTCATTTACCGGGAGAAGAGATGGTAGCATGATGCACTATGGGAAGAAGGCAGGCCAGTGGAGGCAGTGTTATGCTCTGGGCAATGTTCTGCTGGGAAACAGTCCTAGCATTCATGTGGATGTTACTTTAACATGTACCACGTACTTAGAGTTTGCTACAGACCACATACACCCCTTCATGGCACCTGATGCCTGTGCCTTTTTTCAGAAGAATAATTCGCCCTGCCACACTGCTAAAATAATTGTTCATGAATGGTTTGAGGAACATGACAAAGAGTTCAAGATGTTGCCTTGGCCTCTAAATTCCCCAGATCTCAATCCGATTGAGGAACTATGGGATGTGCTGAAAAACAAATCAGATCCACTTCCAGCTTGCAGGACTTAAAAGATCTGCTTATAACGTATTGGTGCCAGATACCACAGGACACATTCAGGGGTCTTTACATTACAGTTGTTTTGGCAGCACAAAGGGGACCTACACGATTTTAATATTGCTGCTGATCAGTGTGTGTGTCTATATATATATATTTATTTATTTATTTATTTATTTATGCTATATATATTTAAGTAATTATATACAGGGTAGGCCAAAATTCATGGTAGGGTTTGAGGAGTCCATAACTTTTTATTAATATACTAATTTCAGTGATATTACATGCAATGAATGCTTATTGTGTGGAGATGTGTTTGACTAGGTACGGAAGATGACATCTTTTAAATAATCTCCATTTGCCTCCTCGCAAACTTGGGCTCTTTCAATTGCTTGTTCATAACATTAGTTAATGCTTAATGCTCAAATTTCTGCTCAATAACTTCTTGTGAAGTCATCCTGCACTAGATGGTGCATTTGGTAGGGTGCAATTATGCATCACAGAAATGATAGTTTTGCTTATTAAAGAAGACATTTAAATGAAAATGAACTTTGTCAGACATGATGAGTTGATGAATAAATTAATTGTTTTCTCTGGTTAATTTGTTGCTCCTTCTTGACATTACCCATGATGACTCACAAGACAGTTATATTATACTGAACAAAATTTTAAATGCAACACCTTTGTTTTTCATGAGCTGAACTCAATGATCTAAGACTTCTTCTATGTACACAAAAGGCCTATTTCTCTCAAATATTGTTCACAAATCTGTCTAAATCTGTGTTAGTGAGCACTTCTCCTTTGCCGAGATAATCTATCCACCTCACAGGTGTGGCATGTCAAGATGCTGATTAGACAGCATGATTATTGCACAGGTGTGCCTTTGGCTGGCCACAATAAAAGGCCACTCTAAAATGTGCAGTTTTATAACACATCACAATGCCACAGATGTTGCAAATTTTGAGGGAGCGTGCAATTGGCATGCTGACTGCAGTAATGTCCACCAGAGCTGTTGCCGGTGAATTGAATGTTCATTTCTCTACCATAAGCCATCTCCAAAGGCATTTCAGAGAATTTGGCAGTTCATCCAACTGGCCTCACAACCGCAGACCATGTGTAACCACACCAGCCCAGGACCTCCACATCCAGCATCTTCACCTACAAGATCGTCTAAGACCAGCCACTCGGACAGTTGCTGCAACAATCGGTTTGCATAGCCAAAGAATTTCTGCAGAAACCGTCTCAGGGAAGCTCATCTGCATGCTCGTTGTCCTCATCGGGGTCTCAACCTGATTGCAGTTCATCGATGTAACAGACTTGAGTGGGCAAATGCTCACATTTGATGGCGTCTAGCACTTTGGAGAGGTGCTCTCTTCACGGATGAATCCTGGTTTTCACTGTACAGGGCAGATGGCAGACAACGTGAATGGCGTCATGTAGGTGAGCGGTTTGCTGATGTCAGCATTGTGGATCGAGTGGCCCATGGTGGCGGAGGGGTTATGGTATGGGCAGGCATATGTCATGGACAACGAACACATGGCATTTTATTGATGGCATTTTGAATACGCAGAGATACCATGACGAGATCCTGAGGTCCATTGTTGTGCCATTCATCCACGACCATCACCTCATGTTGCAGCATGATAATGCACGGCCCCATGTTGCAAGGATCTGTACACAATTCCTAGAAGCTGAAAACATCCCAGTTCTTGCATGGCCAGCATACTCACTGGACATGTCACCCATTGAGCATGTTTAGGATGCTCTCGATCGGCATATACGACTGTGTGTACCAGGTCCTGCCAATATCCAGCAACTTCGCACAGCCATTGAAGAGGCGTGGACCAACATTCCACAGGCCACAATCAACAACCCGATCAACTCTATGCAAAGGATATGTGTTGTGTGAGGCAAATGGTGGTCTCACCAGATACTGACTGGTTTTCCAAACCCCCCTCCCAAACTCCCCCGGTCCCTCCTGGACCCCAGCAATAGAGTAAAACTGCACATTTTAGAGTGGCCTTTTATTGTGGCCAGCTTAAGGCACACCTTTGCAATAACCATGCTGTCTAATCAGCATCTTGATATGCCACACCTGTGAGGTGGATGGATCATCTCGGCAAAGGAGAAGTGCTCATTAACACAGATTTAGACAGATTTGTGAACAATATTTGAGAGAAATATGCCTTTTGTGTACATAGAAAAGTCTTAGATCTTTGAGTTCAGCTCATGAAAAGTGGAGAGGAAAACAAAAGTGTTGCGTTTACAATTTTGTTAAGTATATATACCTGCAACTAAAAAAAAAATCAACTACCAACAAATAATTTATATGCCTGTCAAATCCAAGTCTGAATCTGGTGTCATATAGTGAGGGTGGTGATATTGATTAAGTTGCTCTTGCAATGTGTGTGAATTGTTGAATATTGATGTGAAGTGTGAATTGTGTGCATGGCAGGATTAGTACATTACAAAATAAATTCTAGGGTAACTTACTTTTGGCCTTCTATAATGTTCCCAGATAACTTCATTTCATGCATGGCCTGAAGACGACATTTCACGAGCTCTGTAGGACAAAGGGCCAATGAAGCAAATGCAGCTGCAATGGAGCCTGCAGTCGCATTGTGTAGATTACTAAAATGCAGGCACAAAGATTAAACTTCAAAACGCTCTTCTCCAACATAAAATAAATGCCAAATGTTGAAAATGTTTCAAGATATACAATGGGAAACTTAGTTATTTATATGTTAATTAAGTTAGTAGATAGAGTGAAACTTAGATTTGTTAATTTTTCTGTTACGTTTTAGTACGTTAGATTACTTTTTAGTACAGAATACTTTGATATATTTTTTGATTAAGGTTTTTTTTTATAATTAAATTATTAACCTCTTAATTACTATGTTCTTTAAATGTTATTAAAACAAGAAAAATATTTGTAGCATGGCTTTCATAGTTAGCACACACATACAAGATAACAAATTAATTTTATGTATAGATTCTGTGCTGGGATAGCTAAAAATAAAATGATGTAAATGTGCACAATTCAATTGTCAGTTATTTGTTTATTGTTTAGCATTTTATTATTATTTTATTATTTATATAGCGCCATCAGATTCCGTAGCACTGTATAATGGGATACTGAAGTACTGGGGCAGTAAAATATTTTAGAGATCAATGGTATCCCTTACCTTGAAATATTTCAGACCCTGTCTGGGACAGGGTCTCAAATATTGGCATAGAAGCAATAATACCACTGACATCATGTATACAGTAGCTGTGGCAAAAACAGATACATATATATAAAAAAGTTCTCTGTGTATGGGTATTTTAAATTAGCACTGTCACTGTCTGGGGACTTTGCAGAACTTGCAAAGATTCTATCTAATGTGTTCTATCTTTATGAAATACAAATTTTTCAGGGGGAGCGGGTGTGACAGTGTCGCTTTAATTAAACCAAATTGCATAAAGTAGGTACAATGAGATCAAGAACCTGCGCTATAAAGCCAGGGTATTGCAAGCTAATATTGTACTCAGTATCTCATATCCCTCCCTTCTTTCCCCAAAAAGTTGATAGAGAGAGTGGGAGGAGCTTGGATATTATCATTTACAATCTCTCTGAAGACATGCAGAAGGGACATTCAGGGCTCTGATAAAGAAGCAGACATTTGTTTTGCTGCAGGGTGAAAAGCAACACTGGAGCAAAGGGGATGGTAAATGGAACATTATGGGCCAAATTGAATTAGGCATTGCTTTTCACAGCAAAATGAAAGTTGCATGTGTGAACATGTTTTTAGAAAGGAAGGGGTTAATGCGATCATGTCCAATTAATTAAATTCACTGCAATTCATCTGTGCTACCAACATTTCCTGATTTTCTTATTTAGGACATTTATTACTTTGTGTCACACTGACCTTAGAGGTGCGTTCTTCCCTAACCCAATAACGTGCCTCACAACTCTTTGACAGAACCCATAGCTCATAAAAAGCACAGAGTTCTCCGCTATGTTGGCAATAAGTGCTGGGCTGGTCCCTTTATAGAAACCCCTGAACCCAATCTGTTTGTACGTCTTCACCGCACAGTCCATAAGCCCTCGGTACAGGTTAGGAAATGTTTGCATCTTCACCTTGGCAGTGTCAAAGGGTTGTCCTGTTAATACACAAGCAGTGCCACCTGGAAATATAATGTCATAAAAGATGAATAAATAATAAATATTAAAAGAAAAATAATTATCTTAATGGTTATTTTAACTCGTCTGCAACATTGCAGGCCTCCCAATCATCCCGATTTTGACAGGACAGTCCTGATTTCAGGGCCCTGTCACATCATTTTGACTTTGCTTCTCTGGTGTCCCACTTTTGAGGACAGCAAAGAACTGTCCCCAAAAAGCATAGAATAAGCCCACCATTAGAGTGAAACAGCGCTATCTGCATTATCCGCACTTAGTGGGCTGGCCAGCTTGATTGGCAGGCAGCCTGGTGTGAGAAAATTCTTTGGAGATGTAGAGGGACTAGTTCATATTAGCTTACAATCTAGGTTGAAATTACATATAGAACACAAGAGAAAATACAGTGGAGGACACTAATGCAGTAATTTTTACACTGCTGACTGCAACATGAATTAATAGCTATAGTGGGCCAATGTAAGTTTTGGTAACCTCAGTAAGTAGTGAGTTTCAGTTATCATAACTGAAAATGATAAGCTTATCAACATGCCTTGCAAAATTAAAGTATTTGGAGACAGGCTGAGAGTAAAAGAGAGACCTGAGTCAAAACTAGTACCAAGATGTGAGCTTGCCATTAGTGTTCATTGGTGTTCAATTTACTTACAGTGAGGTTTGGTATTAATGAAGGAGAGATATAAAGCTTAGGGGCATACCTATCAAAGTGTACAAAGAGGAGCAACATTGTACCAGTGGCATGTATCTGCTGGTTTCACTTGTCTCCAGGGGGAAAGCCCCACATTTAGTACTTTAGACCACTTGTTAGACAGAACACTTTGATAAATAGGCCACATTGAGTTTAAAGAGACATGTCATTGGTTGGAGACAAAATAGAGGCAGCTTACGGGACACTCTAGGAGGTCAGGAGAGAGATTGAGTTGAAAGGTAGATGTGGGTGTTGTTAGTATATAGTTGTTATGGGAATCCAAAGAAACTAGTAAGATTCTCTGTCATGTTGGCATTCATGTGAAAAATTATTATTGAGAAGAATTCATATAAGTCCTTCTTTTAATTCTCTTTCATAACTTTCCATGTTTGAAAGCAGCCAAAGTTTAGAGAATGGATGCTTGAGATGCTGTACAGAGCTATTCTGCACAGATTATTATACATTTATATAGTAGAATCTTTCTAATCTATCTGTACTTATTGCATAAAGCCATACTGCACACCAGGGGTTTATACGACAGGTGCAGTGTTATGGAAATCAATTGATTGTGACCAGTGTCTCTTTAAAGGAACACTACAGCTTTGGGTTAACAGAGTGCCCTCTCTTTCTTACATTATAAAAGTAAAACTGGTAATCGGTCATTTTATAACGTCTCTGGGATGTTTGATTGACAAACATGAGGGTCTTTTTCCTTTACTGTGCACATATCTTTCCAAATGTAAAATTACTGGTCCTCCAGCATTCGACCTACCGGGTCTTTATCAATCTTGATAAAGACCTGTTAAGGTCGAAACGTTGCTGCTTTTGCCCCAAAAGGCCGCTATTTTTGTTATCCCAGAGTGCCTGAACCGTTATTTTTTCTACATATCTTGGAAGGGAGGCCTGGCCAGCCCTGACTTCAGAGCACCTGGGTTATTTGGTGAGTGCGGTATCCAGTACGTCTCTACTATAAACAGGCCGTCACACAGGTATTAATGTGCCATGCCAGAAAATGTCTGGCAATTAATATGTTTGATAGCAAGTCTACAGTCCTCTCCACCTGCTGACAGAACAAATACTAATCAAAGCATCCATCACAGGTCAGAGTATGTCACATGTAGTGTGGCCTACACAATCACAAGTTACCTGCAGCTCCCGCTGTGAGGTCTATGGCTGCCTGAATGGTATGATTTGACTTCATGTTGTTCTTTTAACAATACGATTCTATCCCTGAGCAGCAGAACATTGGAAGCTAAAAAGAAAACATGCATTAACTCAAAGACAATCACATAGCAGATAAATGGTCAGAATTCTCACAGTAATACTAAAAACCAAAAGGTTTGAGAAGAGGCTTAATTAGATATGTTCCAAATAGATATATTAAATCTAATCATGAAGAGAACTGAAGACAAAGTTGCACATATTTGGCCATAATAGTTATAACATCCTCGGCTGAGATGTTTTTCTGTATTGTCAATTTTGGCCTAAATTTAGCAATTTGGTTTCCAATTCTCCACTTTTACCTTTCCGTGAATCACAGGTAGCAGCTGCTAACTAATACTTAATACCAAGTTGGTTTAAAGCATTGCTTTAGTGGAGCTTGGTTAAAATCTATTCTCAAAACACATTTAAGGCTTCAGATGAGGTTTAAAGAATTAGCACAATATGGTCTAATAATTAATTATGGTTTATTGATTAATTATTGATTTTTCAGGTCATATTTTGCTTTCTACATTCTAGTGTATGGTTGTGAAAGAAAAACATAAGTCAACATTGCAGGTTTGCTTATCACAGCTGGCAGGTGTATTCAAGTACAAGTTCATTTTGTCACCTGGCAGAACTCGTGATTATTTTAACATCTCTTGCCATGAGATAGTCATGAGACACTAGAGATGCGAATCAGTGTTACTGTGTTGATCTATTCAATAGTCAATATAACAGCCGCTACAATTATACAAAAAAAAAACTACTTTTCTTCCACAGTATTCAGCCTTAAAAAGACCCCATGAGATTTCGTATCCACCAAATATACTGATCCCCAATAATTTCTGGCATGACACAAGGGTAAAAATACTGTCCACTCTTTTCAGTAGAGAATAAAAAGTATGCCTTATATTTTTTCCAATAAAAACTATTACAAAACAACAAAAAACTATATATATATGTATTTATTATAGAGTGGTAGACATATAGATAGATGATAGTTAGAAAGGTATATAGACAGATAGATAGACAGACAGACAGATGGACAGACAGACTGATGGACAGATAGATATATAGATAGATGGATAGATAGATAGATAGATAGATAGATAGATAGATAGAGAATATCTTGCTCTACCATTCTATCCTTAGCATGCCCCCTGTTTTTCTGCAGCATATTCTTCATCTCCTTCCTTGCAGATTATGTATGACCATCATTGCATTGTTTATCTGTTATCTGCAGAGGATTCTAGATCTATCTCCCTGCAGAAGTGAAGGAATGCCCGAGCAAGCATTTGCTCGTATGGCATTTCTGTATGAGCAAGGGCAAGGCATCATGATGCAGCAAAGTCACTCAATGGAGAAGTGCAGCAGTGGTAATTCTGTTTTTCTATGTACCTACACAGCTTTGTTCACTCTGGTAAATGCTGTTTACTGGGTGACTGAACAAGGCGCTCTCACGTCCATAGAAGTGACAATTCCACAATTATACTTATAGTTTTTCAAAACGTAAAAAAAAAACAACAACAATTAAATCAGGTTAAATTCTATTTTAATTCCTGGTAATTCTCACTGTTGGTCTCCCGTACCAGTTCAATGTACATATGATGTTCTTTCTAATTGCACTAAGAGAAATAGCATCTCCTAACTGCTATTAACAACCTCTTCTAAGGCACCTGTCACCAAACTATTCAACTCTCGGACATATTCCTGTTTTGATAAAAATAAATATATGATGTTGGCACTCCGCACCCTTTTGTTTTAACCTCCAAAAAATAATCAATTGAAAGGAATACCGCACTCTAAATGACGCCAAAATAGGTATATTTGAAATATATTCAAAAGGCAATAAATATTACAATAGCACTGTGAAGGGAAAACTAACAACACACACAGAGTAACTATTTACATTCATAGAGCCCATCAATCACCTGACCAGTACCTATGGTTCATGATGTACATAACCAGCTGAACACAAATACTTTACACCAAGTTTAAATCAGTAAATAGTTATTCAATAATTCATGCACAGGTGATAGTAATCACTGTCAATGACACCGGTGGATCCACCCTCTAATTCATAAAGATAAGAATATATGTATAAACATAGGCTAGTAAAGAAAGGAAAAAATGGAAAAAAATTAAAATGCAAAAAAGAAAAATAATGAGAAAAGGAACGGAAAAAAATAAGAAAAAATACACAAAAATATATAAAAATGTATGTATATAAAATCCACTGATAAGAATGGATATAACTTTTCCATATATATGATAGTAGAAAAAAGGAACAAATAATTCCACAAAGGGAGGGAAAGATTATCAAAAAGGATGGATCCTTTAAAATTAATCCTGTACAATAAAGAAAGTCCATATGGAATTGATGCTGAAAATAATCACTGAGTGAGCTCTGGTTGATAGCTGGAGTCCGGCAGTCGTTATAGGCTCAGGCTGTGGTGCAGGTGGCTGGTGGGCTGTGGGCCCAAAGAAGAAGAAGGGTGGGATCCAACCTTTTTGATAATCATTTCCTCCCTTTGTGGAAATATTTGTTTATTTTTTTCTACTATCATATATATGGAATAGTTATATCCATTCTAATCAGTGGATTTTATATCCATACATTTTAAAATATATTTGTGTATTTTTTCTTATTTTTTTTGTTCCTTTTCTCATTATTATTTTCCCCCCATTTTTCTTTTTTTGCATTTTGTTCATTTTTTCCCCATTTTTTTCTTTCTTTACTAGCCTATGTTTATACATATATTCTTATCTTTATGAATTAGAGGCTGAATCCACCGGTGTCATTGGCAGTGATTACTATCACCTGTGCATGAATTATTGAATAACTATTTACTGATTTAAACTTGGTGTAAAGTATTTGTGTTCAGCTGGTTATGTACATCATGAACCATAGGTACTGGTCAGGTGATTGATGGGCTCTATGAATGTAAATATTTACTCTGTGTGTGTTGTTAGTTTTCCCTTCACAGTGCTATTGTAATATTTATTGCCTTTTGTATATATTTCAAATATAACTATTTTGGCGTCATTTAGAGTGCGGTATTCCTTTCAATTGATTATATTCCTATTTGTCATAGCTCCGGGAAGAGTTATGTTTTAATTTTGCCACTATTAATAAAGAAAATTAAAAAATGACAGTTATTCATTCAAGCGTGAATTGCCAGAATTCTAAATGAGTTCACATTCATGTTTGAATTTTGGGCAAAAAAATAGCCAAACTGATAACATAACTGATTTGGAGAATTTAGTACATTTCAGCTATTTTGACAGAAAGGTTTGCTTTGAATACATTCTAAATGTCTGACAGCTCACACTTTAGTAAATAACCCTGTTGGTGTAATTTTATTATGGCTCGAATGTTCCTTTAGGCCTATGTTAACAAATAAGTTAAATAATTGAGCCAAGAAAAAGACACAAAATGTATTGTTTCCATTATATCACAAAAAAGCGCATTGTTTAGCACGAGGTACATATAATAAAATTTTAACAGAAATGCAGGACAAAGTCCCATACTCACTGGTTTAGCGTTTAACATCAAGTTTCTGTTAGCACTGCCTGGCTTGAAATGACAGCACAGCTTTGTACTCCGTGAATCAGAGTTCTTGTGATTGACTCGGACAATCTGTCTGTTTGTTTAGTGTCCTAATCCCTGCCACTATGATGATACTTTCACCCTGTCTGCATACATGTCCTATTGTAGCCCTTTCACAATACACCCTTCTCCTGTTATTTTAGCATTACAGATTTATGTAAACTTAATTTCCCATAATTCCCAACCTGTCTTTAGGCTCCAGGCTGGCTAATCATCATGGGAAATATGGTCCACAAACATCTGCAGTGCCAATGTTAGACATCCATTGTCGAGAGTTTTTTCTCCTTCAAAAGCTCCAAATGTTTTGTTCTGTAAGGTCTTTTTGTCATTTTTTCTTAATTTTGCCAATGTATCTTTGCTTTATTATTTTTGAAATATGCGAATATTACAAATGTATTTACATTATTATTATATTAGGGTGAACAGATGGACCAGTGCACAAGTCCTACAGCTGTTTGTGTCATACAGGATTGTATACATTATTACTTAGTAACTTGGAGCATTATTATGTTTTAAAGGACCACTATAGACACCCAGACCACTTCAGCTTAATGAAGTGGTCTGGGTGCCAGGTCCATCTAGGGTTAACCCTGCCTGCTGTAAACATAGCAGTTTCAGAGAATATGGGTTTTAATCCAGCCTCTAGTGGCTGTCTCATTGACAGCCGCTAGGGGCGCTTCCACGCTTCTCACTGTTATTTTCACAGTGAGAAGATGCCAGCGTCCATAGGAAAGCATTGAAAATGCTTTCCTATGGACTGGCTGGATGCGCGCGCGGCTCTTGACGCATATATGCATTCAGCCGATGACGGGGAAAGGAGGCGGAGAGTGGAGAAAAGGTAAGTGATTTAACCCCTTCCTCACCTTAGAGCCCGGCGGTATTTTCCTGGCACTATAGTGGTCCATTAAGGCTGTAAAATGGCATTAGTCATGGTCTGAGTTATAAATCTACAGAATTACATTTTTATTTTATTATTGTAAATCTTTCTTTTATTGAGACAATGAGTTATGCAGTACAGAATGCAAACAAAAGTAAAGGAGTTAGTGCATATGACAAGACGTTAAACATACAGTTGACATGTATACTCCTGGATAATCTGTCTCATTTTTTATGTAGAGTGATCATTCTAGGCTAACTAGGAACAGCAGGCTATACCATGTAGCAGGGGTTCCCAATAAATTTTTCCCATGGAACCATTTGACATAGTATATCAACATCATGGACCCACCCCCCCCACACCCCCAAAAAAATACAAAAATTGCACATTTTTTGTATGTGCCGGTGTGTGACAAGGTGTGTTTATGTGTGCTTTTATGTGCCAGTGTGCGTATCTGTGTGTGTGTGTATATCTGACACACAGATACACACACACATTGGCACATAATGGCACACAGATGCACACACCTTGACACACCGTGTGTATCTGTGTGTGTGTATGTATGTGTGTATCTGTGTGTCAAGATGTGTGTATCTGTGTGTCAAAGTGTGTGTATCTGTGTTTGTATGTGCCAATGTGTATGAATCAGACACACAGTTACACACACACTGGCAGATAGTGGCCCACAGATACACACACTGACAAAGATTCACACACCTTGACACACAGTGTGTGTATGTATCTGTGTGTCAAGGTGTGTGTATCTATGTTTCAAAGTGTGTGTATCTGTGTTTGTATGTGCCAGTGTGTGTCAAGGTGTGTATATCTGTGTTTTTTCTATGCACCAGTGTGTGCATCTCTGTGTCAGTGTGTATCTGTGTGTGTGTGTATGTATATGTACCTGACACACAGATACACACACACACTGGCACATAGTGACATAGTGATAGAGATACACACTGACACACACCTTGACACACAGATACACACTGACACACACACACATCTTGACTCACAAATACACACACACTCAGATACACGAAGTGACATAGACACACACACTTGCACCCACAGATACACACTGGCACATACACACTGACACTCTCAGATACACACACACTGACATACACAGGCACATACAAACACACTGATACACACTGGCACATACATACACACACACTTAGATACACACAGTGACACATACACAAACCTTGACATACAGATACACACACTGACATACTCAGACACACATACATACACTATCACTGACAAACACACATACTCTTTTACAGAAACACATACAAACACATATACACTCTCGCTGACAAGAACAGATACATTGTCACTGACAAACACATACACTCCTACACGCTCACTGACAAGCACACATTCACTCTCACTGACAAACACACATATACTCTTTGACAGACACACAAACACATTAAAATTTTTTTTACATTTTACTCCACCTAGCCCCCCTACCTTTAAAAGTGCTGGCATAGAGTCCCTGGGGTCCAGTGGGGCTGCTGAGCGGCTGGCGTGCAGGTGGCGAGGGAGCAGTGATCTTCCTGCTCAGCTCCCTCGCGCCCTCTTAGTAATGCCGGAGTGACATCACTGCTGTGCGCACGAGGGAGCTGAGCAGGGAGATCACTGCTCACTGCTCCCTCGCTGCCCGCGGCCATTTTATTTTTTAAAACCCCTTCAGCCACTTACCTTTTTCCAGCGCCGGGCTCTCTTGGCACTGGTGACCTCTCCTCCCCACTCTGACGTCAGATCCGAATGCGCATGCGCATGTGCTGACTTCAATTAGTAATTCACACAGGTTTTACCACTGGAGTCCGGCTTAAGAGATAAAAATTTGCATTATACCATGCTAGGTCAAATTACTTATACAGCAATGCTTGGCATGAGAGCTGAGTAAAAGCATAAGTGAATAAGCAGAAATAAAACGAAGAAACACAGGAAACAGAGTAAAGTGTGATCGGAGCATTTGAATCGCTCAAACTGGAGCCATCTTCTGCATGGTTTGAGAAGGAGTCCGTGGTGGTACTTTAGCGGACCCAAGTAGAGGGTTACGATGCAGGCCCCGCAAGTTGGTAGTCGGAGCAGTCATCCGACACCCCTGCGGGGGTCATGTCTCGCGATCAGGCTCAGGCCGCTTTGGGGAGCAGTGCAGCGTCGTGTAGGTGAGATGCCCCTCCTGCCTCGGTGCTGTGGGAGAGCTGGTACACTCTTGGCATGAGCCTGGGATCCATTGAGGTCCAGGGTCTTCCCGGTCAAGATGGTGCAGTGGGCCCTGCGTGTTACAGTTGTGTGTCGTCGTTTGTGCCTTGTGGCCCTCCGCGTGTGTGGCCGGTACCTGTGGGTTGTAGCCCTTGTCGCTCTCAGCCCAGGTTGGCATCTTGAGTAGGTTTCTGAAGTGGGGGACAACGTTGCGCCTTTGAGAGGCTTCCCAGGCCTCCACTTGCTGCAAACTAGATCCCTTTTGGTTGGTATACTTGTAGCCTTTGCCGGCCTTACGCGAGCCAGCAGCTTAGCCCAGAATTGGTCAAAAATTATTTCAAGAGCGTCCATTGCTCTAGCACAGGGGCCTATTGTGTCAGGTTGCTCGAGCTGCGTGCCGCGTGTAGCTGGGTCTGATGCATCCGCCATCTTGGAGACCTCCCCACTTGTTCAGCTTGTGAGGGCTGCTGGATCCTCAGACATGTATGAGGCTGCGGCAACTCAGTTCGGCGGGGACCAGGATAACCCCCACGGTCCACAGGGGGTCGGGGACTGAGTCGTGCTCGCGTGTGGCTTGGTGCAGCAGGAGGAAAGCGGCTGTCTTTCCACTCCACCATCTCCAGTAGGCCTCAACCTGCTGTCGCGGCTCCTGGTGTCTCTGAGCGTCAGGTCTGGTAACCAGTGCAGGCTTCCCCAATCTTTATGGCTCAATATTGAGAGTATTCCAGAACTTTGGCTCGAGAAATCATCGGGTAGATCACCCGTACAGCAGGAGCTCATGCAAGACACGTCTTGGCGGCTCGCTGGTCATGCTTCGCCCCCTCTACACAATTTAATTTCATCTGTTGGAGACCATGCGTCCAGTCATAAAATATCAAAATGTAAAAACAAGAGAAACGTTACCTATAGTGAGAGGAAATAAGATAAAACAAAAACACCACCCACTTCCCCTGTGATATAGAATTAAACAGTTTTTAAAGTTGTTCTAGATGTTGTAAGAAAACTGCATTTTATGAGTTATGTGAGCATCATTGCCACTGAAATATGACTATATGAGCATCATGGGAGTGGTTGTCCACAGCTACTGGAATGCAGAGACTATGGAGAATTCAATATTGCCGCCTGTGATTTCTTGTGAATATCAATGTAAAGCCAGAGCAGCAGGGCTAGCCCAAGACATTGTGCTGCCTTGGTCCAGGATTTAAATGCTTCCCTTTCCCCCCTCCTCCCCCATAGTCATGCACACACACACACACAAGTACATCGAGAAGTCATTCATATACACAGCCAGGATAAAATATACAGAAAGATTAGCAGGTGTTTAGGCGCTTCAAGGTTATGTTGGGTGTGTATCACAAATTATAGGTGTTTCCCCAATCACCTCAATGTGTACAATAAAAAACTGGTAATGTCAAACACTACCAAATACATACAACACCCAAAAAATGATTTATTTAAATTAAAAATATTATTATTAATATTATTATTTTTCTACACACTGCATATATATGTCCTGTTTTAATAATATTTTTAATTTAAATAAATCGTTTTTTTGAAAAAATCCTGAGTCTGCTTCAGAGATACCATCAAAGCCAAACATTGGCACCCTAATGCTGCTTATATAGAGCCTGGCACGGCTCTACACTTGTGAGTGGAACTTTTATCATTATTCAATTACTTTCATTGTACAGATTACACTATGTGTGGTTATATTTATCTATTGTAGATCCCAAGAGTGGTACTTCTGCTTACCCATAGTGGATGTCTATTGGGAAGTATACATGTCTGTACATTTTACCTTCTAACCTGTTACACTGGGTGTTGTATATATACACAGCCACATTCACTCACAGACACATTCATTCACAGACACATTCACACACAGTCCCTAACACAGACAGACACACTCACAGACACACTCACAGACACACAGAAACAGAAATATTCTCTCGCAGAAACACAGACACTCACAGACAAGCCTGTGCAAGATATATTTTGCTGCCCCTTGCTTACCCCTTCCCTGGTCATTTTATATATACACATACATTTCCAAATGCTTTCCCTTACACCTTGGTTCACTCCACCTCATCCCAATATACCACTTGCACTTTTTCACTCTTACTGTCCCTTTCCACAGCACCAGATTGCACCCAAAGCATTTCCCACAGCACTACATATTGCACCCAATGCACCAGAATGCACCACACTTCCATGTCTCCCCCCACTTCCTTCCATCTCTCTCTTCCCCACTTTCACATCGCTCTTCCCCCTCCCTTCCATGTCTCTCTTGAACTTCCATCCATGTCTCTCTTTCTCCTTTTCACATGTCTCTCCCCCCTTCATTCCATGTCCCTATCCACGTTCCACCCATGTCTCTCTTGCCCTCTCCCATCTATGTCACTTTTTCCATCCTATGCAGTGTGCAACGGGGTAGCTGCTCACCTGCTAATTTAGTGTGTGTGCGGTTCCCTTATGGAGCTGCACACTACCTGAAAAAAACTGACCCATTGTGGGGCTGGCTCCGCAGAGTAGCCAAACTGAAAATATAGCTGATATAGAGAATTTTTCCAATTAAGCTATTTTGACAAATAATAAAGCGATTTTGTGTATTTAACCAAGAAGTAATACCCCATAAAAATGATGATTTTAAGAGCCTGGTACATTATACTTGTATTATATAATACATAAAATAAATCCTCTATATAACATCACTCTACAAAGGAACACATACATTATTACCTTCCTATATGATGTGCAGCAATAATTTTTCTTAGAATCTCTCATACCTTCATATAGGGTCTGCCAGCCACAGGATCAAATATCAATGGGTTAATGTTCCCTCTCTGGTGCTGATTGAACGTACTCCCTCTTTTTGCCACGTCCTTCTCTGTAAAGTAGTTATACAGTCAAAAGGGGATTGTGCACACAGACCATTTCTAAATCATAAAACCAACTGTGAGATTTTAGAAATGGGCCTCTTGCCTTCTGCAGCTTTGAAGGCAGAGCTCTGAGGCTCGCAGTAGGATTGGCAGGTCACAAGGTTCCGTAAGCATATTTCTGTCTTTTTTAAACAGTCTGTCTTTCACGGAGAAGCTGGGTTAGATTATATATGATCACGTGAGGATCAGAAAAATGCTTAGCTGAGAATGTGAGATGCTAACTTCTACGAACTGCACTAGAGGTGAATGAGGATGAATGTAACAAAACTCCCAGCCACGAATATGCATCTGCTGGCATGTGGCGTGACAACTGTTGTCTATCCAGCTGACAGGACGGGCAGACAAACGCAGCATAGGGCAAAAGCTGTTGAATGCCCAGCCTGGAATTTGCCTATTAATTTAACCAGTGCCTTAAGAGATTATTATTATTATTATTATTATTTTATTATTTATATAGCGCCAGCAAATTCGGTACAATGGGTGAACTGGATTATGGTTTCACATCCCCCAAAAATACCTTAAGACATCCCGGTTCTGCAATGAGTACTCCTGTAAAAAAAATGCAATTAAAATAAGTAGAGTGATTTGCACCCTTTTCTAAAAAGGCCCTGTGACGTTCTCTGGGTTCATTATTTGGTTCAGTCTTTATATTCTGGCATGTGCAGGTGGAATCGGTTTTAAAAGGAAAGAGACTTGTAATAAAAAAATGTAGGACTTTATTAGTTCAAGTGCTGTTTTTAAGTATTAATGTTTATATGTCCATTAAAATCATGACTTGCTATACATAGCGTTTGTGGCCTAAATTTTTTTTGTGAGGCTTGGCCAATCACTGGATAAGCAGTTTAGCAATCGGTTGTCTCACTATCTCATTACATCAAATATATGTAATAGCTCCCACCATCCTCAACCCGAATCTCACTGAGCATGATAGGAGATATAGTCCAGGCAACTCCATGAATTTCCAAGAATGAATTGAGTTATTTTTTTCTCCTGGCCTCTGCATCATGTAAAGGCAACAATTAGAACCGCGCAAAAGGGTGTTTTGACACTGTCAGGGATATTCACTAGACATGCGCAAAAATTAGCTAAATCAGTTATTCTGAATCCAATTCCTTTTAATTCACCTCCAAAAAACCAAATGTATTGATTCATTATATTATTTCCAAAGCTCCAAATGTTGAGTAATTAAATCCAAATGGCAAAATTAAGGCAGAAATAGCCCAGTTCAATTTAATGAGCATAAGTTATTTCACGCATTACGTGCCCTTTAAGACTGCAGATCTCCTTCCCCCAGGGTTATGCCAGGGTGATGATGTCCACTACAGTTGAGCTCAATAGGATAATGTTGCACAATTAATGATTTAAAAAAAAAAATGCCAGCATTGCAGGTTTTTTAAATACAACACATGTTGAAGGTTATAGTGCTTTAATGATGCAAATAGATGACAGTAGTCTCACTAACACATTATGTTACATATGGACACTGCAGTGTACAGTGGAACCTTGAAACTCAGACTTAATCCGTTCCAAAAGGCTGTTTGAGATTCCATTTTTTTCGAGAATCAAATCAACATTTCCCTTAATAATTAATGTAAATTTGTTTAATCCGTTCCAGACCCCCACAAATTTTACAGTTTAAGAATACCTTACATGCTTAAAATCATGTACAAAAATAATAATAAACACAATGTACAGTAAATGAAATGAAAATGTAACTTCACTTTACCTGTAATGATTAGAGTTGATGGCATAAGTGGAAAGTAGAAGAGATATTATCGTTTGGATGGGATAGGTAATTGTTCTTCTGGCGTTCCAAATGTGTCTAAAGTGAGACATAGCATTATCATTGAACATGTTTGTGGCATGATTTGTTCGGGTACTGAGGATCGTTTGTGTACCAAGACGTTTTTTTCCCTACATTTTTGTTCAACTACAGAATTGTTCAGGTAAGGGACCATTCGACTTGCGAGGTTCAACTGTATGTGTAAGTTATATGCACATGTATAAACATTCTGTTAGCAATGTATTTTTGTTACATTGCTTTCTTCTTTCTTTGTTGGTTTAATTGATTAATGGGAAGTTGTTTGCACATTTTATTGACTCAGAGATGTGTTCGTAGTGTTCTTCTTAAAGCTCTCCCTATTTCTCTTAATCCCTTATAACAGCGATTCCCAGAGTGTGTGTGTGCGGCACCGCAACAGGCACACAGGGGCGCTGCGACAGGCACACAGGGGTGCCGCAGAATGTTTCCCCGGTACTATTATTGTAGCAACAGGTAAACAGTACTACTGAACAGTTGCCTGGTCAAGTGCTGCGGTCCCTTAAGACCGCGACCGGGCCCCTGTAATGTCGTCCGGCTGGGAGGAAGTGACAACCTGTCACTTCCTCCCAACGTCATGCAGGGAGACAGTGCAGGAGGGAGAGGAGGCAGCCACAGCAGGAGGGGAGAGATGCACGAAGAGCTCCAGACCCCTAACTCCCACCAGCCAGCAGCAGGACTCCAAGCCACCCTCCTGGACACACCAGGTAAGCTAACAGGAAGGTGGCTGGAGATATTAAGAATATAACTTGTGTGTGTGTATGTATGAGTGTGAGTATGTGTGTGTATGGGTGTGTATGTATGAGTGTGAGTGTGTGTGTTTGAGTGTTTGTGTGTGTGATTGTATGAGTGTGAGTGTGTGTGTATGTATGAGTGTGTGTATGTATGACTGTGTGTGTGTATGTATGAGTGTAATGGTGTTATGGAGACAGGCTCAGACACTGAGTGTAGTGGTGTTGTGGAGACAGGCTCAGGTGTGTTGTGGAGACAGGCTCAGGCACTGAGTGTAGTGGTGTTGTGGAGACAGGCTCAGGCACCGAGTGAAGTGGTGTTGTGAAGACATTCTCAGACACCGAGTGTAGTGGTATTATGGATACAGGCTTGGAGACTATGGTGAGGCCTAATAGAAAGCAGTTGTTTTGGGGGGATTCTATCATAAGAGGTGTAGAGCTGGACAATAGTGGCCTTGTGAGATGTCTTCCTGGAGCTACTGCTCACAGAGACAGGAGACGTATTTGTAATATTGTTAAGCGAGCAAAGCAGGAAGGGGAATTGGATGTACTTGTCTATCTAGGGACAAATTACTTGGCATCTATGGACAAACTACTTGGCTTGCAATGAGGTTTCAGAGATAAAGGAAGTTTTTTGTATTTTTGCCAATGATATACGGCAGGTTGCTTCCACGCTGTCATTCTCTGAAGTTCTGCATGTGCATAACACTCAGAACAACAGGTGGATGCGTATTAGGGTGGATGCGTATTAGGGACTTTAAGTTGTGGCTTGGTGAATGGTGTCGGGAGCAAGGATTTGGCTTTATTTCTCATGGTAGCTCTGTTTGGAATGGAAATAAACTGTACAAAAAAGATGGTTTGCATCTTTCTCAATAGGGAACAAATGTTCTCAGTGAGCAGTTCAGAAAGTTTAGGATACTGTGATCATCAGTCAGTGTGGTTTAATATAAACACAGTGACTGAGTCACACCACGCAAAAATAAATGTTTTATACTTAGAAAAACAGACTTTTCTAAAATTAGAATATATGTAAAGGAGTCGTTATCAGACTAGAGCAATTTAAATGGAGTCCAAGAGAAATGGGCTTATTTAAAAGTTGCACTGCTGAAGGCAACAGAAAATTGCATTGGGCTTGTCAGTAAAACATTTAAGAAACCTCTGCGGTACTCCACAGATGTGGCCAAAATAGTACAAAACAAAAAGTTAACATTTAGTAAAAAAAAAACTCAGAGTGAGGAAGATAAACAGATCTATACGATTAGACAGCAAGAGGCAAAACAAGTTATAAGAGTTTACAAGAGCTTCCAAATCACACACAGAAGAGAAAATAGCACAGTCAGTAAAAAAAGAGGACAAAACATTTTTTAGATACATAAATGAGAAAAGGAAAGTAAAACAAGGATTAGTTAGATTAAAAACAAAAGAAGGAATGTATGTACAAGAGGATAAAGGTCTAGCTGACTGCCTCAATTAATATTTTTGTTCAGTATTTACAGATGAAAATGAAGGAAAGAGGCCTCAGTTAGGAAAAAGGACAGTTAGTCATTTGTTACATTTAAATTTACAGAGGAAGAGGTTCTATTTCAACTGTCAAAAGTAGAGACAAATAAGTCAATGGGACCTGATGGAATACACCCTAAGTTATTAAAAGAGCTTAGTGGTGTACTAGCAAAACCATTAACAGATTTATATAACCAATGATTGTTAACAGGAGTAGTCCCAGAAGATTGGAAGTTAGTGAATGTTGTGCCAATTCACAAAAAAAGGTAGTAGGGAGGAGTCGGGCAACTATAGGCCAGTAAGCCTTACTTCAGTAGTGGGGAAAGTAATGGAACCATTTAACCATGTTAAAGAATAAGATTGTTGAACATCTAAAATCACATGGATTTCAAGATCAGAGACAACATGGGGTTACTTCAGGGAGATCATGCCAAACTAATCGTATTGATTTTTTTGATTGGGTAACTAAAGTAATAGATCAGGGTGGTGCAGCAGACATTGCTTACCTAGATTTCAGTAAGGCTTTTGACACTGTTGCACATAGAAGGCTTATCAATAAACTGCAATCTTTAAGTTTGGATTCCAATATTGTTGAATGGGTAAGGCAGTGGCTGAGTGACAGGCAACAGAGGGTTGTAGTCAATGGAATATATTCGAAGCTTGGACTTGTCACCAGTGGGGTACCTCAGGGATCTGTACTTGGACCCATTCTCTTTAATATTTTTATTAGTGATATTGCAGAAGGTCTTGATGGTAAGATATGTCTTTTTGCTGATGATACTAAGATATGTAACAGGGTTGATGTTCCAGGAGGGATAAGCCAAATGGCAAATGATTTAGGTAAACTAGAAAAATGAAGTCTGGTATATATCATAAGATACAAAAATTGTGGTAAAAATACAGCTAATAAGTAGTCCTTAAGAGATAGATAATAGAGTCCAGTAATAAATCTTAAGATTCCTTTGATCAAGTAGTCCCAGTTAGCAGCTCATTTGGTGGTACAGATCCCGGTATGTAAAAATGAAAAATAAAAGTATATTATAAAATCATCCCACTTAATGGAGACAGAGATTAAGTACTTTTATATTTACTTTATTTGAGACAATGCTCATAAAAATGTTAATATTAAAAACTTTCCATAAAATATAGACAATTCATAAGTTAATCAATACTAATTGTCTAATATATTGCT